AAAATGAGCAAGGATAGCAGTCGCTGTATCATCCTCAGTGTACCTCCTTGAAGGTCCACTGCGTGTTTTATCTTCTATGGATCCTGTTTCCTTAAACTTTGCAACAAGTCTGCTAACAACTCTGTATTATTGGCTCGCGGTCTGGATCCAGTCTGTTAAATTCAGCAGCGACCTCTCTTTGACTCCGATTTCCTATGAGTAGAATTATTTGGATTCGTTATTCCTTGCTCAGATACATGATGGCCTGTAGAAATAGAAAAATATTAATTGTTCTTACGATGCCGGACTTATGGGACACCCTGTATGTGTGATTGCATTGCTTTTTGTATACCCTATATTGCTGGTGAGTTATGGCAGCACCAAATCTGAAATACGATGCCATAGGACAATCGATGTCGCGACTGTATACACGATTATTCAATTAATTGAATGCAATGCACGTATTCAATTTCGTCATGAGCGAATTCGTCATGCAATTGGCAGAAACAGGTTAATCAATCACATCACGTTAACTACAAGAAATGTTAAATAATGAAGCTCTGCATTGCACCCTTGCGTTTCTAACGGAAATTTCAAATCAGATGCTTGGGTTCATCGAACTTTGTACACATGATGTCCCTGCAGGGGTACCTAAATTTCATGTTTATGGCAGCCTTATATGAGCGTGTCGATTATATGCTTCCGCATTTTTTTTCTCAGCTACATCGCCCCTGTGTATGCAACGCCGGCCTACAAAGCCCGAATGGGAACGCAAAACTTGAATTACATCACTGAGGACAAGCTAGAGATGTTGGTGAACGAGCCGAAGGAGTTCGTCTTCAAAGGAGCAGCTGGTACAGGGAAGACGTGGCTCCTCCAGGAAAAAATCAGGAACATCGTAATGTCTTGGTTCTATAAGGGACCCATCTTAGACAAAGACGAAAAGATACTTTTTGTCTGTCGCAATCGCCTTCTTGCCGAACACCTGGAGGAGACCCTTCCCAACCTCCTTCTCACATCCGTCATGGCTGCGCTCAGCAAATGGATCGACAGGGCGAAGGCAGAGGACGAAATGAGAAGGGTGCAGCTGATTCTACGAAAGAACATTATCATATGTTGGTTGCACCCTATCGAGTCAAGGCTAGGGGTCAGAGACTGGAAGAAGATGATCCCAGTCGAAGCACCAGCATACCAAGAGGAGGTAAAAGCGAATGATGCACTTGAGCTAGGGAACCTCGCGTCAAGGATGAGGTACGCAAGTTGGGAAATAAGAATGTTATATGAATTGCTTCGGCACTCCGTGGCCACTCTCAGACCTGAGAAAAAGAAAAATTGGCTGCTGAAAATGAAGGTCATCGGGCATCTCTTCCATTGCTTCACTCCGTCACCTGAGACGCTGAAGTTCTTGTCCGACAGCAACAGAATTATGGCATTAGTGGATGCAAATGTTTACCAGTTGATTTATCAAGAATCTGTGGGAAAATCTATGTTAGGAATCCATTATAGGTTATTTGAATGCTTATCCCGAGTGGAAGAGCTTCCCATAGAGGTCCAGGATGCCGTGCTGAGGGAAATGGAGGCTATCCTCAAGGCGCAGAAACCCCCATTCCACCACGTATTCGTCGACGAATGCGAAGACTTGTGCTTTGACTACGATGGTGATTGGTTTCCGCCACTTCGTGCCTTTCGTGCAAACAGTGAAGGATATTTCTGGAGGGCGTATGACCCCCTTTCCCTACAAAGACTACCAGATACCTTGAAAAAGGAAGTGGAAGGTGCTCGTCCTTTGTTTACGGTTTTCAGAAATCCGAAATCGGTTTTCCAGATGTGGAAAGGAGGAAATGAGACACTCCAGAGAGACATCAACTTCGTCCGCTCAAGCTCCAATGACCCAGGGTATAAAAGGGAAGACATCCGTTTGGGATGCGACGAACAGGGTCCCAAAGTAGAGAAGTTCCACGTTTGCAGTTGGAACTTACTGGAAAAAATTCAGGGAATCCTAAATGACAGATTCGGGAGTGAGACATCCTTCAGGGACATCGTTATCCTCTTCGCTGATAGCTTTAATTTTAGTATCCACGGAGGACGCCTGAGGATGGAAATGAGTGAGAAACGATGGGGTTCTTCGAAAACTGGCAGCATTGTGGTTGATATAGCTTCATCATTCAAAGGGATGGAGGCCCCCATCGTGTTCTTGATCACTAATGAAAATGTGAAGAGAGGGAATGACTTTTACCTGGGAGCGTCAAGATGCACCTCTCACCTGATCGAACTCGTCTTGGAGGCTAGTGACGAAAAGGAGGTAGCCTGTGAGAGGCAAATTTTAGAGGGCTGGAGTAAAGCATTACCACCTGATGCGTCTGAAGAAATGAAAGTCGCATTTGAAAAGTTCTTTCTCCGCAACCTGTACATAGGGACTCCAGACAAAGCAACAATAGGACATGTTGGTGCAATGAAGTGATGACCTTCAGGTTTTCGCCGACCTCCTGGGGAAGATGCTCACCCGAGCGTCATAAAATATACTCTTGCAGAGGAAGCTTTGTCTTTATTCAGTCACTCAGATCCAGGAGAAAGAGAGACCCTACTTTGCATACCCATCTGAAAACTGACTGAAAAGGGGCCCGTTCTCTGCGATAATTCATTGGGTCATAAGCGAGCCGTTCCTTAAGGAAATCCTCTTCAATTCATGAAATCATAATTTCATTCATTGTAGAAGCTCACACGGACTCGAGTGTTATCAATGAGAAAATGCAAGATGTTGGTTCATTGGCCTATTGTTTGGATGATGTCGTGAATTCGCAGCATAGTTTTTTGTCACGATATGATAAGAAAAGGAGAATCCACATGAGAGAATATTACAATCTGCGTAAACAACTTCTTTTTATTATTATTTATTGTTTACCGAGAATTAAAAAAATATAATCCAATACATATTCAGTTTGAATTGTACAAAACTTGAGCCTTTGTCGCTCGTAGCTTCTACTTCTAAATACTAGGTAGATAAAACCCCATACTAATTTGGGCACATATCATTGTAACGGCGTCACTTCCGCTTATATGACGTTACTACCAACAATAGCGAACATAAGTGGATGTCTCTTTTCCTTGGAAAAATAATTTTAAAATATACACTCGTGCTTCAACGGATTTCAACGAGTTTTTATTCGAACGCGCCAAGGATATGCCTGAGCGACAACATGCACAATTCACAATACGTTCATGATTGCGCTTTTAAGGGCAAATAAAACCTATAGAAGTATTTTTTTGCCAAAAGTAATTAAGTTCACAAGTTGTAGAGGGAATATTTCCAGGCATTTCCAACATTTACTTAATTAACCATCGCATCATTTCATGGACAACACTGAGAAATCAATTTAATTTCATGGAAAATACGTTTTCCTGTTAAGGGAATGGAATGAAAATAAGAAAACCGATTGTATATGGTTTTGCCTTATCTATGTTTCTGTGTTGACATTTGCATGCTCCTGTGTTGACAAAGATAAGACGGTGGAGTTTCATGGGAAATGGGGGACTTTATGGAAGACCCTAGCCAGCGTGGCTGACTCATCGATATTTCTGTTGCGCAGCACTGTGAATCTACTTATGTTCAGGCAAACTAAGTGATTCCCCGAATGCGTCATCATGAAGTGATCAACACCGCAGGTTAAAGTGAGAAGTGATTGTAGGACACAAGGATCTCTAAATGAAAAAAAATTGACACCAGTAAGAGTTATTCTCATATGGAAATTATCCAAGATTAGATATTTCGGTTCTCATCATTATTCTGAAGAGCAAATTATTTTATAACCAGGCAATTTCATTATTGCTAGGAAAAGAATCGAATTCTCAACAATCTCCATTGAATTTATTATCCAGAACGGTCTCTCCATCAGAGACGGAGGCCCTCAGCAGACAGCACCATCCGCTGATACCTGCTTTGACTTGTTCCCGCGGCACCTGGAAGAAAATAGCGGAAATGAATGTGAACTGTTAAAATCTTGGTTGGGAGACAGTCTATAATTGCTTGACTCATGTGATTGAATCTGCGTTTTTCATCATATTTAGGTGAGTTTTGTAACGCACTAACAAAATCTAATTTTATCTACAATACTGAATGATCCTCGCGTATTCCCTCATATTTATACATATGTAGCGCAAATCTGCTCTTTGGACGTGCCGAGCTTGTCGATGATGATGAAGCCAAGTGAACCAAACGAATGCTTTGAATATGCGTACTGGTTAGAAGGAGAGATAGAGCATTTGATAGAGTCAGTGGTTCTGCAGCGGCATCAACTTCAAGAATGGATTGAAACAGTTGCAGGCGAAATATTCGAAAAAGCTGTTGAACAGTCTGTCATTCAACAATGGCTGAGTGATGCTAAAAAATTCGTAGCTGAAACCTTCCCATATTGGGAAACGGAGACCCGAGTCATTCCTCCATTACGTGATGTTACTAAATCGTCTCTTGTGTCCTTCCTGTTTCATTTTGGGAAGGAGCATGGAGAGTCTATGTTCATATTTTACAGTCGGGACATAAAGCAAGTGCTGAAAACTCGCTTTTCTGGCGGTATGTACGAGAGATTGGAAAATATTCAGGAAGCTGATCACGACATCGTCATCGTAGATCGGAAGCGAGGTCTCCTTTTCATCAAAGTCTGCTACACCAATGAGAGGCAGCAAGGAGAAACTGTCAATGCTATGCCTCAACTCCTTCGGCAAAAGTGTGACAATTCAAGAAGAGAATTTGAACGACTCAAAGCATTGATGAAGGTGGTAGGGCTGGAGAGCAGTCAGGTGAAAAAATGTTTCTGTTTTCATTTCCCTATCATCGCTTTCCCTGAAGTGCGAAAGGAAGAAAAACTACCTCATAATGTTCTGGTTCTCTATGAGAATGAGTGCCACTCTTGGGTGGAATTTCAATCTTGGTGGTATAAACACATCATACGGAAGAATAATGAATTCAATCAGAAGGAGTCGAAGACCATGCTGCTTAAGGCAGATGAATCAAATATTGAGAAGCCCGATACCAAGGTGCCCGATACCAAGGAAACTAATAGCAACGAGCCAGGTACCAAGGAGCTCGATACCAAAGAGCTCCAAACCAAGGATTTCCATGACAAGTCCCCGACTAAAGAGGTCAAGGCCACGAATATCATAGACAAAGAGTCCAAGACCAAGGATTGCATGACCAAGGAGTCCAACATGAAGGAGCCCAAGTTGAAGCAGCCCAAGGCGAAGCACTCAAATGCGATGCAGCCCAAGGCAAAGGTGTCGAAGGCGAAGCATCCAAAGCCAAAGGAGCCCAAGGAGAAGGAGCCCAAGGAAGAGCCGAAGGCGAAGGAGGCCAAGGCTACTGAACTCAACGATAACAACGTTTTCGAGGCAGTAGACCATCTGACCTTCATAACGATGTGAGAATCAAATTATTTCCTAATCCAAATGGAAATGTTATTCTTCACAAAATGTGATTTCCCTTTGATATTGTCTCATATAATTAGACACACCTCGTAGCAAAAAGGGAAAGTTGTAAAGGGCAGCTACCAAATCCATTGCAAAATGCAGCATTCCCACATAATTTATTATCTGCACCAGTAAAGGCAACATGCCAAGGAACGTATTACTCTCATTGCCAATGTATTTATTGACAAAATAAAAAATATACATAATAGTGATTACCTTAAATTGACTCTTTCTCATTGATGACTAGAATTGTATTTGAGTCCAATGATGACTGATTTCCTCTTCGTTAAGACTAATGGTCATAGGTTATGTGCACTGACAGAGGTCATGAGTGCTGGATGCGTCATTAACTGAGCAATTATTAGAGTCATAGCCGAATAAGCCACACACGACATCTTGCATTCAAGAGCCACCAAGTAGTCAGGAGATCTGGACTTCCCATTCAAGAAGACTGCATCCATCGAACATAGAGTGTGAATTTGATCTGTTTTATGCAGGTCTTGCTGTTGCCCAAAACTTCGTTCAGCACCGATTAATAATTTATTTCCTATATATATATTCTCTGGAATTATTTGTTGCTCAATGCGCTTTTACAGATTTGCGGCACCTCTGTATGCAACTCAAGAGCTGGAAAATGACTCAACACAAGTCCATTTTCTTACTGATAGGGAATTTGAGATTCTGGTCAATGAGCCCACCAAGTGCATAATAAAGGGAGAATCAGAAGATAATGAAATGAAGTTGATGAGGGAGAAAATCCGGAATTTGATTACAAAATGGTTCTCCCAGAGAGGAATCACCAAGCAAGAGCGTATCCTCATCGTTAGTCCCTCTGAAACGGTAATAAAACATTTCAGAAGCACCATACCGGTTTGGATAATGAGATCTGCAACATATGTACATTCCACATGGACCGCTAAGACTCTGGAGGAACAGGTGCATGTGTCTAAATGTGTGGTTGAAAGGAACCTTGAGTTCTGTGCACTCTCTTTTGAGATCACAAATGCGGCACCTGGATTGGATCAGGAATGTTCAAAGGCAGAAGAGAAACATTTGAAGGTGGCCCTGACTTCAGAGGAATCTCGAATAGATGAAGTCTCTCACGTGAAAGACAACGAAAGAAAAAACGCAGGCATGAGTAGACCTAATGATGCGATAGGTGAACAAAGGGGAAAGTTCGAGGAAACAGCACATCACAGACAGGCCTCAGAAATGGAAAGCCGGACTATGAATCTAAGAGAATATCCTATCGGTTCCGATGTCGTAGCAGTTCAACATATCAATACACACGTAGACAATAGTGGCCAAAGAAAAACAGAGATATCTGAAAGCGGCGACATTGATTTTGAGGTTGAACCTTCAATTCTTAATGATTCCACAAAAATAGAGAAATGCATTATGTGTGACATTTCTTCTATTGACCATGGAGAATGCTGTAGAGAAAACATGGATGAGGGGTTAAGCGAGCTTAATGAACCCTGCAAAGAGGAATATTCGCACGTTGAGGTGTTCCTGATGAGTCAAATAGAAATGATAAAAGCTAAGGTTAGATTCATAGAGGCTGACATGAAGTCTCGACTGCAATCCGAGAGAGAATCGTTGAATGTTGAAAAAGTATTGGAAATGAAAAGGTTTTTGCGACTGAACGAAGAGATGAAGCTGCTCCATGTATTCATTGTTGACTTCTTCCATAATGATGAAGGGGACAGTATAACAACGTATACAGGTCCAGTAAGAACCAGTCATGATGAAAAAGAAAAAGAGGAACTTAATTCGTCTCGTGAAACTGTAAGTCCAGCATTGAATAAATCTATAGCATTGAATCAACTTTTCGCCCGAATGAAAGCATTACCTCTCGGTGACCAAGAAAACTTCAATAGAGAAAGCCAGAATGCTACAGAAGAAGTCAAGAAGCTGCATGTATCAAAGCTGCAACATATCCATGAGGATGGACGGAAGTTTGATCACATTTTTGTCCTTGGGGTACATGGACTCTGCCAAAATTAGAAAGACCTCTGGTTTCTAGACCTTCGTGAACTTCATCTGAGTCATGCCGATGGATACTTTTGGATTTTCTGTCAAGATGAACTCCCAAGAAACTTGCATGCAGAATTCAGTATTTCATACCCAATAGAAGGTAAGGTTTTCCGTTGTTTCAACTCTCCTATGTCTGCACCACATCAGTAGTATCGGCACTTGCATTTCGAGCATGAATTTGCTGCAAAAAAATAAGAGGTAATCATGTATAATCAAATGGTCGCGGAAAAGGCAATCAAGTAAATTTAGTCATAAATTTTTGAGTAATACTTGAAGATCATCATGGAAGTATATCATTATTTAAATAAATAATTGTGTTCTTGTTTACAGGTAAGTTATTGACCTATCTTCCATAAAGTTGAGCCGATCTTTCTTTGTAGCTTTCAGTTCGACTGGCAAAGGCATTCTAGCAAAAGAGTCAACATGGATTCATCAAGCTCAAGAATACATCAAAGGAGTATATTATGATTGGGAAAGCGAGCAAATAACTCGGTTGGTTCCACCAGTTAATGAGAAAGAAGAATGGATCAAAACAGCCAAAACACCTGGGGAGAAAGCAGAAAAATATATAATTATCCGTCTGTATCAGCTTGGGCAGAGAAAGAAAATGCCAATGTTCATAACTTACAACCATGACTTTGTTCATCTTATCGAGACAAGAGGCGTCGGAGGAGGCATTGAGAGCCTTTTGAAGGGAGAACATGATATATTATTGTTACATCGCAACTTCGGGGTCATATTCATTCAAGCAAAGAACCTGGATACACAACACACCGGGAAGAAACTCAGAGATGCGGTGAAAAGGAACACCAAGACCGCTGGAGAACAGCTCAAGAAAGATTTACTAAGCCTTGAAGTAGCCATGCAAGAAAGCGGTATGGATGCGAAGGACATAAAGGGAATGAAAATGTCACTCCGTGTAGTAGCACTTGCGAATGTAAGGAGAGCTCAAGTGGAAGAAATACCACAGAATGACTTGTATTCACCAGATGTATTCCTTTGCGAGGAAGATCTGGAGTCACTGGAGTCAATTGAACTATGGTGGAATGAACGAATTCTTCACCATATACAATACTCCACCATCGACTCCAACACATACCTTAAACTTTTGGCAATGTAAGTCACATGGGTATATCCATATTACACGCTAAGAATTCCGAGAAGTACTTGAAAATGCCAACTTTCCTGTTGAGAGCCTTGCTGGACCTAGTACGTGTTTGCATATTGACGAAATCCATGTTAACTTTAGATTTTCTGACTAAGTAAATATAATCCCTCCCTTAATAAGTATAAATATAATCTTTAGGACTCGATTCAAAACAGGAAGCGGCACTGAACAGTGCAAGAAATACACTGTAATTAAACCATTCAACATAACATATCGATAGCTTGCCTCCAAATGCGTTATGAACCTAAATTGAAATTCGATTTCATTTGAGGAAGTTTTCGAGAACGAAAATAAGTGTCAATGTATATGTAGTAGATTGCGCTATTTGGGATACGGAAAAGCAAGGCAGTGCCTCCGCGCGAATGGAGAGATTCCAAGTTTTCCCAAGCGCGGTCCTTTTACAGCGTTAGACTACGTTTTCCAAATGCATCCACCGTGGGGAATCTTACAAGTACATTAATGCATTCTAAGCGCGAATAGGACAAGTGAAGAATATCATAATTTATCAGTTCCATAATTTTCTTCAGGTATATCGCCCCCTTATATGCCACCCCGGCCTACTCTGCCCGATTGACGACACAGAAGCTCAATTTCCTCACCGAAGACAAGCTGGACTTGTTGGTGAATAAGCCAAAGGAGTTCATCTTCAAAGGAGCTGCAGGGACGGGGAAGACGTGGCTGCTCCAGGAAAAGATCCGAAACATTGTCATGTCCTGGTTCCACAATGGACCCCTAGCGGAAAAGGAAGAACGGATTGTTTTCGTTTGTCATAATCGCCTTTTGGCATCGTATTTGTGGAAGACCCTTCCCGATCTTCTCCTCACGTCTGCCATGGCTGAGCTCAAGAAATGGATCAAGAAAACAGATGAAGAGAACGAGAAGAAAAGAGTTAGGCATATTCTACAAAATAATATTATAATCTGCTGTTTAAATCCCAAAGAAACAAACTTCGGGATTCGTGGATTGAAGGAGGCGAACGCAAACGATGCAGTAATACCTCAAGAGGACAAAGCAATAGAGAATGAGGAATTCGAATTTGGGAATTTCGCCACAAGGATGAGGTATGCATGCTGGGAAATGGTCATATTCTATGAGATCCTGAAAAGAACTGTGGCTCTGCTCCCAACCGAAGATGGGAGGAGATGGCCCCTGAAAGTAGCTATTATCCGACGGCTCTTCCAGGCTTTCACTCCCGAAACTGGGACCTTCAAGTACTTGGACGATAGCATCAAGACCATGGCTTTTAAGGAAGCGAGTCCTCACCAGCCCATTCGCGAAGAATCTGTGGATAAACTAATTCGGGGAATCAGTCGTCGGTTATCTGAATGCTGGACACTATTGATGGAACTACCTCTAACAACATGCAATGTCGTCCTTGCGGAGGTGGAGAAGATCCTCAAGACCCAGGAGCCCCCTTTCCATCACATTTTCGTCGACGAAGCGGAAGACCTGTGTCTAGCATTTCATGACCATTGGTGGACATCATTCCGTTCCCTTCACAAAGGAGGCGAAGGTTATTTTTGGCGGGCGTATGATCCCCTTTCCATGGCGATTACACCAAATTCGTTGGAGAAGGAGGTGAAAGGTGCTCATTCACTATTCACTGTCTATCGAAACCCAGCATCCGTCTTAGGCACTTGGACTGCTGAAAACCTCTCACCCGAGAGAGACTTCGAGTTGACCTTTTCTGGTACTCGTGACACATCGTATAAAAGGGAAGAGGTCCGATCTGGACATGCTCTACGGGGCCCCAAGGTGGAAAGCTTTCGCGTCACCAGTTCCAATCTGGCCGAAAAGATCCAGGACATTCTTAGAGACAAGTTCGGAAATGGGATATTCCCCGGAGAGATAGCTATCCTATTCGCAGAGGCAACAGATTCCCGATTGTACAAAGAACGGCTACGGAATGAAATGAGGGAGAGGTTGCAGTACTCCTCTTATGTAAATTGTGCCGTTATAGAATATGCTGGAGACTTCAAGGGCAGGGAAGCACCCATCGTGTTTTTGATAACTAATGAGAGAGGGAAGAGGCGGGACTTGTTCTACATGGGAGCATCTCGAAGCACTTCCCATTTCATTCAACTTGTCATGCGGGCTAATGAAGAAGAAAACAAGGCTGTTGAAAAGAATACATTGGAGGTTGCCCGGAAAATATTGCCAGATGGAATTAGAGAGAACTTTCTGAGACAGATGCGCCTCATGAATTTCATTTAGTGAGCCGAAGCTTGAACAGTGGGAATAAGAAAGGAAACAAATTTAAAGTATTCATTCTTCCTAGAGAATGAAACTCATGAGATCATCTCTCTTCCGTGGGGAAGATCTGGAAGTGGCATGATTTCCCTGCCTCGTAAACCATCGCGGAATAGAGTCCGATCCGCTTAGAAAAATCCCATAAAGTCATTTACCCTTCCATTCAGAGACGTCATTTATTTAGATAAATATGAAGGAGAAATGCCGGTCCCTCTGTGATGGTATCTTCAAACTCAGTTACAAAGCGGAGGGCGATGAAAAAAAAACTCAAAAACATTCCGTCTTGCTTCTCTCTCTCTCCCTCTCTATGTATATATTAATTTATATATATACATATGTGTGTGTGTGTGCGGTTCTCACTATTGGACCAGTCGTGTCGGAGTGAGACGTGGAAAATGTAGCCACATATTAGTAACATTTGACTAGATTTTTTTTCCAATTTCATAGAAGTTATTGCTAAGGATAGAAAGGGAGGACGGAGTCCCCTTAAGGTCGATTCCACGAATCGTTACTAGATGTTTCTAATGCAAGAACTTAACATTTTTTCCAGGTCGTCGCACTCCTAAGGCAGTGATGGACACTTGGTCGCAATGTACCTATTTCTCTTAATCTTCATCTTCAACCATGTTGATGAAGTCAGTGCCCTGTTCGTATTTTCTCGGCTACATTCCCTTAAGAGACAAATGACAGGCTCCATGAGATAAGAATGGGTCCAATGCACATTTGGTGTAACAATCATAGTAAATGCTGTTTTTCACTTGATCATGGGGCTGCAATACGTTGGAAGGGAAATTGTATGCCATCTCTTCGTGGCTTTCTCGAGACTAATGCTGTTCACTGTTGTCGAGTGCGTCACTTGTTTGTTTTAGGCATCAAAGCACACATGTCTTCATCATCTACCTTTTTGCCCCCATGCTCCCCCAGGCATTTCCTATCGGGTCGATAAGTTCCTATGGTATTCAAGGCGAGAAAATTATTCGATGAAGTTGTCATTTATCAATAAAAATTAACTTCAGATACGGTTCATTGAAGACTATGATTAAAGTAATGGCGCGAGGTCGAATTTTCATTCGTTTGTGTCCATGTAATTCATTAAATCGGGTTACCTAGACACCTTTAACTTGCCTATGAACATATTTATGGCTGCCACTGTTTTGTTTGAAATTTAAACGTGGCAACTACAATACAGTTGTGGCAGCTGTTTTGAAGCTGCCTCGTTTAAATTTCAATATCAAAGACTTCAGGTGTCCATGATATCCATCACTACCCGTTTTGAAGACGTGCGAAATTTAATCATTCATTGCATCGACCCTCATTTTGTATTGTCTTTAAAACAAAATTTAAGCAGGATGCATGAAAAAACATGAAATTGTTCGCAGGGTTTTCAGTGGCATTCTGAAAAAAACATCAAGTTCTAGGCTAGTAGTTTAATTTCACGTGGAAAGATTCAGCATACCTCGCATAAGAAAGTAAACTGAAATTCCCTAAAAAGTATTTAAAAAAACATATTTTGGAATTTTCCTATTTCTTCAAAATTCGTTTCAAATATTTATAAGTGTATTTTTCTACTATGAAAATAATGGCTCACAGAGTTTTCAGAGGCTCCCTTAGAACCTGATGAAAGTGTGTCACATGCACCCGACCCACAATGCTAGTCAGCATAACGATGGAGCAACTAAAATCGTAGATAGATCGTAACGAATTGATGATGAAAGCTTGTACTTTTATTCAACATCCTTTAACCATCGTGCGACACTTTGCGACTTGCCGAAGGAAAGTGCAAAGCCAGAGGAAAAGTGCAAAGCGGAGTTGCTGTCGCCAACCCAATATAGAAGTAATGAACATAATATCACAGCTGAAAAAATACTGCATCTGATGATGCTGAGCATCCGCGCAGAATATTTCAGACCCATATCATTGCAGTTAGAAGTCACAAGTTTTTTTAAATTATCCTATTATCTCGAATCGGATAATAGACATAAATGCTCGGACGCGATGGGACTTCACCTCTGAACCAATTGTTGGGATATGTTGCAGGTGGAATAATTTTCATTGGGAACTATATGTTCTAGGATATTTGTAGAGGATTAATTGACCGGCGCGGCATATTTTCTGGATATGACGTCACTGGATGGCTCTCTCGGTTATTTTTATCGGTTTTATTTGGTCCTGGTATGGGAACCCTATAAAACACATCACGTATCATGTGAAACTAATTGTTACCGTATTGCCCGTTTTTGTTTCTGGCATGCTTTTATCAGTGGTATTCCTTCTCTTGGACATATGATATGGCTTAACGGCAAAAATGGAAAGAGGATTTGATGAGAAGTGGAGTGATGATGCCAGCGGGTTGAAGCAAGATGTTCAAAGAATAGTTGGAAATGTGACTATGCAACAATGCAGCAGTCAGGAAGAAGAGGTTGAACGAATTATTCAAATGGTGGTTGAACAAGGTATCATTCAACAAAACGGATGGCTGGAAGAAGAGATTGATGTAATTGTTGGAACGGTGATTGAACAAAACATCATTAAAGAGACTCAGCAATGGTTGAATGATGCAAAACAATTCATTGAAAGAACGTTTCCGGATTGGGAAACGGGAACACGAGTGGTGCCACCACTTAGCAACGACCGTGCTCTTATGCAATCATCCGTTGTCTCTTCCCTCTACAATTTGGGAAAGAAGAAAGGAGAATCCATGTGCATCGTTTATAGCCGGGATATGAAACAGTTGATGCAGACTCGTTTCACTGGTGGCCTTTACGAGAAAATAACGGAACTTGAAAGAGACGATCATGATATAGTCATAATAGACCGGCACCGAGGTTTGTTCTTCATTAGAGTTTGTCACACAATGGAGAAAGAGCAGCCGAAATTTGGCAATCCTAATTTTCATGTCGTCCATCAGAAATGTGATAGCGCGAAGAGAGATTTTGATGGACTCAAGTCATTGATGAGGGGAATTGGCATGGAGAACAATCAAGTGAAAAAGTGTTTCCTTTTCCACTTTCCTATCATCGCGTTTCCGGGCATCCGAAAGAAAGAAAAACCTCCTCAGAATGCATTGGTTCTTTATGAAGAAGATTGTATCTCCCACGCTATATTTGAAGCTTGGTGGGAAGAGCGCATCATAGGGCCTCTTCATTCCAAGAAATTCAACCTGGAGCCCCATGCTCACCAAACATTGTTAGCTGCGTAAGTTCTTTCCTGAACCTCCTTTAATGGAAAATGTGGATGCCTTAAAAACTACAAGCATATTTCGTAATGGGAAATATGTGGCTCTAAATGAGGAAAAAGGGTCATTCTGGAGAATGCAAGAAATTCTACTGTCCGTAGGTAAACTTTGGAACGTAATTGAACATGACATCAGTGGAGAGCGGTAGAAAACCACGTGTCAAATCCTAGCCATAACCAGGTTACTTATTCATATATCAATAAATTGTTAGTCATAACAATTGTTGATGCACTATCGCAGCCGACAAGAGAATATGTGTAAGCTTGTTGACACCATCTATCATGCAGGAATGGCTTCAATACGTTAACATCATGTATTTACGACATTTTCGACGAAGGATAGTTAATTTCATTCCTGAAGAATGTTGAATGATGCAAAAAAAGAAAATGCATGCAACACAGGTAAAATTATTTAATGTCATATGTTGCAGCATGTAAAACGCAGGAATAGTTCTTTCTAATGTCATACGTATATAATCTTGAATTTGCAATTCGTTCTATTTGTATTGGCAGATTTGCCGCACCCCTTTACGTGACGCCATCCTTCGAGAGCGACAGGAATGGTTACCAATTTTTCACCCAGCAGGAATTGCAGATTCTGGTCAATGAACCAACCAAGTGCGTGATGAAAGGAAATATGGGATGTGAAGAGATGAAGTTGATGAAAGAAAAGGTGCGGAACGTCGTAACTAAATGGTTCTCCCACAGACCTATTATTGAATCTGAGCGCATCCTTTTCCTCGTACCCTCTGGAGATGTCAAGGAACAGCTCAAATCCACCATGTACGAATGAATTATAATGTCAGCAACGGATGCCTATTCCACATGGACGACCAAATTCTTACAAGAACGGATGGAGAGAGTTCGGAGTGTCGTTCAAAAGAATCTGACGTTCTGTGCTCTCTCCCCTGGTCAACGTGTTTGGAATGGGTAAACTGCATGCTATGCAGAGGGCAACGAAAAAGAATCTACCACTTGCAAAGAGTCTATGAGAAATGATGAAACCTCCATCCATGAAGTCAATGGCCAAGGGCTCGGCAGCAGGGAGGAAACAGTGATTCATATCAGTGAATCCATTGCACAATTTGAGAAAGAATCTTCACCTCATCGCTACTTCCCAACCATAGACGAAAATAATTATGCAATTACATTTGAAATTAAAATAGACGGATCCAATGAATCATTATCCTATTCTAACAAAAATGAAATAAATATGGGGAGAAAAAATGATGAGAAAACCAGATCTGAAAACGAAGAATCTGAGGAAAAATATATAGTTAGATCAGGATTCGTGAAATTGGACGATCAATTCGCGTGTCAAGTACGTTCTATTCAGGAGAACCACGATAGAATGAACTCAGGTAATTTTGCGGATAAAGTAGATTCTGTGGCTCAGGAAGACCCCTTGGAAATGAAGAAACTACTGGTGAATATCACAGAAATTCTGGTTCTCAGCTTCAATAACGCTTTCTGTTCATTTTTTGAAGTGGATAATGATGAACATGAGGATAATAATACTTGGATGTACGACGGCAACGATTCCGAGAATGAATCAAGGGCCGCCAAATGGATGCACACCAAAAAACACAAACGCCTCCGATTTAGAGGACCTTCCATTGATCAAGAGCATAGCAACGGTATGGACATGGATCTGAATGTGGGTGAACACAATGAGAAAATCGAAGAAAAACTTGAGGAAAACTCTCTATTTCCTGATGAACCCATGCATATTAACACAAATATGAAGAGCAACCGCGAAGTGAATCTACTTGTCAGCATCATGAAGACAGCATTCCTTGACCAAGATAAAAGCAATACAGGAAAATGCGATGGAGTAGTGGGAAGACAGAATGTGCAGTTTAAGGAGGAATCATTGACTCATGATAACTTACGCTTCAACGAATTGCTGAAGAGTTTAATGGAGATGAAAGTACTTCCAATCTGCAACAAAGGCTCCTACGCCGGTCAAGAGGTCAGCAGCGGAGACAGGAATCTTGTAAAAAAATTCATGACATTTCACATACCTACGTTGCAAGAACTACTGATGGATGGGAAGAAGTTTGATCACATTTTCGTGCATGGGGTTCATGAACTCTGCCAGAGTTATAGTGACGACTGGTTTCAAGACCTTCGTGACCTTCACCAAGGTCATGGCGATGGACATTTTTGGATTTTCTGCCAGGAAGATGAACTACCAGGAAACTTTAATGCAGAACTCAACCATACATACCAAATGAAAGGTCAGAATTCCCTTAAATATTAATAAAATCATATTGATTGAAATGAGATTGTTTCAATTTGTTTCATTCTAGAACGAAATTAAATTAAACGGCAGGAAGTTTAAATTAGATTGAGAGTCTGATGGTTCGAGGGCCGCATGCTTGTGGGGGGGGGGAGTCTAATAAGTCTGGCGTTTGTTTTTTTATTTAGAATGTTGATGGTTTCCTTCGCGCTGTGGGCAAGCGCGCCATCCAACTGAAGGTAAACAACTGACCCAAAACAATGTTTGATGATTGGATGTTACTTCTGCGCTAACAATATGTCCCGGTAAAATTTGCCATCAATACTCACAGCCGGTTCGACAAAATGCAGGGATGTCGTCCTAATATCGACACTCCAATTGAGATCATAACTGACCAGTTGAGTGTGGAACGGTTGTGGAGAAGACGATCGTCATTCACATCATATTAGTTCATTCCCTCTTCAACATATAAGTGGTCATTGCGCTCATTACCTGGATAAACTATAATAAACACCCATTTTTCTATGATCCAGATAAAGGTATTGATGTGATGGTGTAGCGACGTAAAAGCTGCGTTTCATGCATCAATGAGCATGCCTGTTCGCTCTTGTTTTCTCTTGCACAGGCGTGCATATTTAAAAATCATTTTAATCTGTAATCATTTATTGATAATTCTGTTGACAGTTGAAAGGGATATACAAATGTGTGGATATATATGTGTCCTTGCATTTGATGGTTCCATGGATCATTCTTTTTTGCTTGCACCAAGTGTTCTCACATTTACAAAAATTTCAAGTAGTCGTGACGCGTGCGGTCTAATAATTTTTTTTTCTCATGCCAGCATAGAAGATTCATTTTTATGTATTCCAGGCCACGCTTTATGCAATTCACTTCAGGAAATTATCTGATATTCCAAGAAAGGGCGAGAGCTTACAGTTAACCTCCATAATATGGTTGTCCTAAACACTGAAGACCATCATGATACAACTGCGAAGAAGCAGGAACAGCTTAAAAGCAAGGTCTGCTAGGATTTGAAAAGGATACCCACTAACTAGGGAAGAAAGGGAAAACGTCACACCGTCTTCCTATTAGGCTGTATGATATGTCACGCATGGACACTGCTTCCACCAGTTAAGGCAGACGCATTGGTTATGTAATGGTTTATAATCGTAATACTTAGGAATGCTTTAACATCCTCTCTCGCGTCAGAATCGTCAAGGACAAATGGGCAAAATAAATAATTATTTCTTGTCATAGAACAGTTTATACCAGTAATCAAAGCCACGTTTGATTATGAATTTCGTTTATTTTTCGTTGCAGTTGTGAACGCAATACACCCAAGTGAACCAGCCCGGGAATCAACTTGGCTCTACCAAGCAGAAAATTTCATTAAAAATACATACCCTGATTGGGAAAGTGATTCAATGATTCGCCTTGTACCACCAGTTGAGGACAAGGACGAATGGATCAGGACAGCCAAATCTCCTGGAGCAAAATCTGAGAGGGTTCTTATTCTTAGCTTATATACGTTAGGACAACGAAATAACTCATCGATGTTCATCACATATAACCGAGATTTTGTTCACCTAATTAAGACAAGAGAGGTAGGGGGCGGTATAGAGGGCTTTTTGGCGGGAGAACATGATATTGTCTTGATAAATCGACAAGTTGGAGTGATCTTTATTCAAGTGAAAAATCTCGAGACTGAGCACACATGAAAGAAACACAGGGATGCTGTGAAAAGGAACATCAAGGCTGCTGAGGAACAACTTCAGAAAGATATTAACAGCCTGGAAGCCATTGGGACAGAATGCGGATTGAGAAACATGAACGTATCGCTTGGTGTAATAGCACTAACAAATGTGAAGAGGGTTCAAGTAAAGGGAAGACAGGATTGTAACCGCATTGTCTTCCTTTGCGAAGAAGACTACCAGTCAGGTGAGACCATCGAAAGATAGTGGCAGGAGCACATTCTTCGGTGTCAACATTTGCAAGAAGTCACCATCAATTCTATGACGTACCTTCAATTATTGGCTATGTAAGTATCCCATGGATTTTTGGAATTCAATTGGATATATCTGAAGAAGACAGATTCGCAAAATTGTTAATGCAATGGAATCGTCGTTTTAATAATGTCGGAGTGTTTCTTAATAACAACTATGAATACCTTCATTGTGGCCATAGAATGAAGCCCATTCACTTTGTCGTTTTTGAGTCAGTTGAGAATTATTCTCAATTTTCTCAGCACTCAACATTACGGGAGGACCCCTTTGCCACGTCATCATATCGACAAATATTAGACGTTTGTTAGGATTTTATCATGTGGTAATGGTATATGAACGAAACATCGACATAATTATATGTTCCCTCCGCTCTTGGGCATGAATGAACATGAATGGGCAGTGACTCAGAACTAATGATTTAGGAACCCGTATTTCAACAGTCAGGAATGAATAATTGATACATTTTCCTCAGATACGTCGCCCCTGTGTATGCAACGCCGGCTTACACAGCCCGACTGACAGCACAGAGGTTAAACTTCCTGACCGAGGACAAGCTGGACATTTTGGTGAATTGTCCGAGGAAGTTCGTGTTCAAAGGAGCAGCTGGGACGGGGAAGACCTGGTTGCTTCAGGAGAAGATCCGGAACATAATTATGTCTTGGTTTTCCCAGGGGTCTATCCAGGACAAAGACGAAAAGATCCTCTTCCTATGTAAAAGTCCCTATCCTGCCGAGAATTTGGAACATACCATATCTGACCTCCTACTCACGTCCGCCATGGCTGTTCTAAAGAAATGGATAGACAGGACAGGGGAAAACGAAGAGAGGAAGAGCGTGCAGCGCATTCTGGAAAACAATTTCTTCATTTGCTGCTTATATCCTTTACAGGCAAGACATCGACTGGAGGTTCCTGATTGTAAATGGGGAAAGGGAAAATATGAGTCGGCACCCAGAGCGGTTAAGGCAAAAGAAAGTGATGAACCACGTGGAGTAAATCTAAGAAGAAGGATGAGGAATGTAAGTTGGGAAATAGTTCTATGCTATGAGTTACTTCGCATTTCCGTGGCAGCCCTCCAACCGGAGGAAAAGGGACGATGGGCACTAATAATTTGGATTATCGAGCGCCTTTTCCAGTCCTTCTCTCCGTCAGCTGATGCCTTGAAGTTTATGGGCGGAAGCATTGCATTAATGGATTTGAAGGAAAACAAGAAGTTCCTCGCCCTAAAAGACAAATGGCCTGCCATTTACAGTTCAATGAGTGGAATCAGTGACCATGAACCAATTCAGTACCATGAACGGTTGACAGAACTGCCTCCTAAAATCCAGCATACTGTTCTTGGGGATTTATATAAGATCCTGAAGACCAAAATGCTGACCAAAATGACTTTTCATCATATATTCGTGGACGAAGCAGAAGACTTGTGTTCTTATTACGATGACCACTGGTCGACCTTATTCAGTTCTGTCGTCAAGGGAAGTGGAGGATACTTCTGGCAGGCCTACGATCCCATTCCTTTGCGAAAGTTGCCTGATACCTGAAAAGCAGAGGTGGAAACCGCTCATTCGTTGTACGCAGTCATGCGGAATCCTCTATCTGTATTGCAGACCTGGACTGGACAGAACCTGTCACTCAGGGGAGATATGTCGACCAAGGCCGGCTACCGTGATCCAACATATAAAACCGAGCATATCCGATCGGGCCATAATGTGCAGGGCCCGAAAGTCGAAAACTATCACATTTCCGTCTCTCTCTTGGCCGAAAAAGTTCATGAAATTCTACAGGACAAACTCGGGAGTGGACCATATGTGGGGGAGATTGCCATCCTCTTCATTGATCCAGCCATTTTCCATATCCACGGAGAACGACTGAAGCAGGAAATCGAAGAAAAATTATGCGATTCATATAACTCTGCGAGTATCGTCGTTGACCGTGCTGATATATTCAAGGGTCGGGAGGCCCCAATTGTTTTCCTCATCACTAATGAAAGAGGGAGGTTGAGAAATGAGTTCTATATGGGAGCATCGAGAAGCACGTCCTACCTCATAGAACTTGTCCTTGAGGCCATGGAAGAATACGATGTCGCACAGAGAATGCTTTACGAGTCTCTCCTTAGTTTTGTGCCCGATGATTCGCCAGAGGAAGTGGAAGCGGCATTTCCCAGAAAATTTAACAATACTTTTATAAGGGCGAATTCAGAAGCTACTATGGAATTGCTCACAAGTTGCGAGAAATGAGTGTGTTGATGAAATTGAGTAATACAAATTTGAATAATATATATGCCGGCGATGTTCATATCATTCGCTTTCACTTGCAATAGTAAACAAAAAATAATAAAGCAGAGAATTCTCACTTTAAGCATGGCGGAAAATGACCTTCAACTTCTGCTTACAAATGCAATCATTGTGAATTCTATCCAAATGCGAAACAAGTACACATAACTTCACAAATTAAGAACATTGCCGGCAACAAAGCTTTTCCTAAGTGACAACTTTTTCTGCACAAGTTATTCTGAAAATTATTTATAAAAAAAACTACTAAACTTTAAAGTATATTCATATAACGAGCCTGCTGCAGCCTGCCAGATGTAGCTGCAACTGCTACAGCTACCGTTACCTGATGCATGGTAAGGAGTAGACGACGCGTACAGTATATGTCACTTGCAAATCACCCGTTTATTACTATAACTAGATTAACACATCCAACTGACTTGAGTGCCGAATCGGTGCTGCTGGACATATCCAAAGCATTTATTACAGACGATGTCATTGCTCTGAAGGTCCAAGAGCCGATTCGATTTCCTGAGCAGTACATCAGTGTCAGCGCGCTGACACCTATAAGCCGACTACACCGATGGATTTCAGAATAACATGTTATGAATGCGTCAGAGATGAGATAATTATTAGACGCCTGATGGGTATTGTAAAGAAGCCTGCCATTTGAAACAATTGTTCTATCAACCCAATGGTAGCTACGCCATTGCTTCACACCACATTCGGTCATGACTGCTTTGAACTATTCAGGGAGTTCTGGCATTTCTGCAACAACTACGAGACGACTGAAGGTGGTTGATTGTTCAAGTTTAATGCTGCAGGTGTTGTCATGCTTGAGCGTATATGCTCCTGGAAAGGAGCTGTCGATCGACGAGTCGATGGTTCCGTGGCGTGGTCGTCTGATTTTTCGTCTGTACATACCTGGGAAAAGACATTGGTATGGCATGACGGTATACTTTGTGTGTGGTTTTTTGCACGCGTCTGTAATTATCTGAGACCCTGCGACAGTTCAGATGCTATAGTTTGGCCATGCCGGTAATAAAGCTAATGGATACACGCCTAGACGTCGGACACTAGCTATACGTCCACAACATCTACACAAGGGTATCGTTGGCGAAGGAATTACTGAAGAGAAAGACGCTGCCCTGTGGTACACAGGGATAGTACCAAAAGCGTCTTCCACAGGCGGTGGTTTCGCCATAGCTGCAACGGGGTCAAGTCATCATTCGCAGAAACAGCAACATAATTTGTCCCAAGTGGAAGCGCGACGTGATGATGACAATTTATTGCCCACACACAAAATACAACGTTCTGTCAATGCATGATGATACTTTCTACTACAAGTCGGTTAACATGTTGATGGCCGGCATCCACCTAATAGAGGCCTTTATTTGACCTCATGATATCAGTGACATCTCTTGGCCGTTCATCGAAACCAAAAGCCTTCACAGATAAGCAGTGACAATCTTGGTTTTTCAAACCCCTTGTGAAGATACCTTTCAAAAAACCCACCTAAAATCCTTTCATAGCGATATCCAGTTTGAGTGTCGGTATGCAATGAATAATGCCAATGATGCAATACCCATTCATATACGAATGATCTAAACGGGCGTGTCTCTTACGTAAGAACGTTTAGTTATGGAAACGGCAAAGAAGAAGGCAACTTTGGTGCCTGCTATTTTCCAGCTTTTATTTCCTTCGCCATGAACACACATAATGCACGGCCCTTCAAATACATCCTCATTAGAACCCAAACGAGAAGTCACGCAATTCGGAATACGATCGAATAAGTAAAGGAACTGCAGGCGACATTTTAGGCATCCCCTCGTTCATCATTTTTTAGCACCGCCATATATAATACGCAAGAAGGTATATGGGATGTGGGAATCAGTGAATCACAACAGTCAGCGGGAGTATATTCTGTTTTACAGCTACATGTTTTTCCCTGCAGGCTGTTGATGTAAGGTGTTGCATAGGCACACTGAATAACAAGTCGTATATATAAACACCTCCTGCGGAGGCGTTTTGTACCCGCTATCCGTATGGGCTGTGGTTCATGATAGGGATTTCTCCGAATGAGTCCAATGAGAACCAACGGATCAGTAAAAAAAAAAACCGTGAGTGACGCCAGTGCTCCCTGTCCGACTGTCACGGCATCAGTCCCTAAGTCTGATGTGCTCTGCCCCTCGAGTCCTGCCTATCAGGTCTGGCCCTGGGTGTCACCTCGTCGACAAATGAAAGGGACTGGTTTGTCCTTTTGAGATTATTACAGCTGTGGCCTCTAATATTGTTGTGCCGTTGAACTCCCACAGGGCAAGTCAGCAGTACTTGTGGTTGGGCAATTCCCATTTTGAAGTAAACTGTTTTTTTTTTAAACAAGAAATCATAATAAATTAAACTGTTGTTGCTTCTTGTTATTTAAACACCGTATTTCATGTGTCATCAGTTGTCCCCAAGAATGGATAGTCCAGTCTGTGGAGTGATGAACCCATTACTTTATATCATATCGTTCTTAAAGAAATAGTTATATTCCTTGTTTTTGGTCTAAAGTTAATAGTAAATTATAATTCTTAAGGCCTTCCACACGATTTCATCCGAATTTTTTAATATTTAAATGTTAGCCCATAGAATAGGTCTCACTCCAATGCATAATTTGCCTTCGAAACTGTTCAATCGGTAAGAGGGGAGAATTGTTCACCATAGTAGCTTGACTAAGATAATACTCTCTTTCGACGCCGGTTCAGTCGGATGTTGTGCCGTTATCAAAGGAACTCCCTTTATCGCTCTCCATACTGGTGGCTGTGTGTGCTTTGTGCATCACTCCAACTATTGTTCCTCAACTGGCTTCTATCATGATGAACTCCAGTGGCGAATCACATCAACAGGTGAAATGCCGGAACACCTCGTATTTGCTTGACGTGATCAATTAATACGGTAAGAGTAGAAGAGAAAATTCGTGAATATTCCAATACCTAATTCTAAGTCTCCGAGTGCTGCGATATACCATCTGCTCGGCTATTGCTTCCACCAGCAAGATAATTCAGCTATCTAAAGCAGATGCCTTAGAAAAGCATGAGAACCTGGCTTTCCAAGACATGTTCAATGTGAGCTTTTCATTTTTGGAACCGTAGCTTTCCAATGTCACCTTTCGAACACTTACGATTTTATCTATTTGGAGGAACTGTCTTCCTAAATTGGCGTACATAGGCTTCTTCGTTTGCACAAGTATTCCATAGGAGAGAATTTTTTTTTTTCCTGCGAGCTCTAATTCCACATATACCCACTTGTATTTAGATGGCTGATGATTCCTCGAAGACTGATGAAGAACCACATGAGGTGAGTTACAGATGTTACCATGTTGCTCATGAATACTGACAATTTCCAGGATTCTCTGGACTACAATAATACATTTTGAATACTTTTTTCGACTGCATAACAGCTTCAATGCATGTGCTCATTTTGTAGACATCCAGGGGGATGCAAATCGATTGGCAGGGAAAATATATACAAACCAGCGATTTTTTTTTCCCTTTCGGGGAAACAAACTCACAATGGTCGCGCCTTCGGCGCTCCATTACCTTGGATAGTGATTAATTAATTTATTATTTACGAAATGGCAAACACGTAATTATAGTACGTCTCCATTGAAATACGTGACATATGGGGACAAAACTCTTAATTTTTTTTACAAAATCATTACTTCTATGATTTATAGTGTGTCTAAATTGAGTACATTTCATGTGTCCCCTTTTGTAAGGGTGGATATTACATTTTGAAATACTTCCCTACTACAATATACGCTAAGGGGACATACTTCAAAAGTAGTATTTTTCTTTTAGTCAGCCATCAAATTGGTACTTCTGAGGGTATTTTAAATTTTCTGTCACTGTTTCGTTGGATTAACAAAACTTTAAAAAAATCAAGAAAATTGGACTTAAAAAATTAACCTGATGCATTTTAACGAAAATGTTTATTTCTTTTGAAATGTAGACTCAGGGAACTACATGCCACCCAGTTTCAGCCTTATTCGTTTCCCCTTTTGGCCGAAAGCTGTGCCAGAGCACAGAGCACAGGAAACTCGCAAGAAAGTTGAATTTTTCCTTAAATCAGCGCCACGTCCGTCATGCGTGGGCCTGCTTCTACTTTTCTATTTCTGCCCGATTCGCAAGGATATGAAAAATTCTTTGAAAACGTGACGTCCTCAAGATATATCCCTTCAAAATTCCAATATTTTGGAAATTTGACATTTTTCCTGAGCTAAGTGCGTCAGCATTCACGTTCTTGTCATGTTTCAGCTTTCCATGTGCCTCCGTTTGATTGAAGCAAGGAGAACTATTTGAAAATATGATCCCCGAAACGTTGTTCCCCAATGGAATGTATCACCAAAGTATAATTTTTCATGAACTCAGCATGCGAAAAGCTACTTATGTCAGTCAACTACTCACGATCACACTAAAAATCGAATTTTTTCTTTACTCATCTATCCATCAAATTATTTTTTTTGCCAAGTTTAAACTTTCTAGCGCCCTTTATTTCGCTGGATCGAGAAAATTCGAGAAAATACGCCCTTTCCAATTTATGTGCCCTGAGGTGTTTTAACAGAAAAGTACCTTCTTTTTTTACCTTAATCAATCCTCAGAGAGCTACTTGGCCAAGAAGTTTCAACCTTATACGTTTTCCATTTTTGCTGGTGAAACAACATCTTTGGAAAAGCCGACGCACCCAAAAGCTATGCCAGGTGGGGATGCACCATGAAAGCTAAATACTCCCTGAACTCAATAATGCCATGTCACTTATACGTGTGCCAAGTTTCACCTTTCCATATCTCCCTAATTCACTGCGACAAAAAAAGTATTTCTTAAACATCGCTGCTCGAAAAAATTCCCCAGGGGATTAATCGAGACTTAGTACTTGTATTTAACTCCTTGTCTCATTAGTCACATTCATGCCAAGTTTCAGCTGTCCATGTCTCTCTGTTTTACTGAAGCAGAAATGTTTTTTTCGGGATTTGAACCCGGGCCTCCTGAGTTCCGATCAGGGGTGCTACCACTACACCACTGAACCCAGGATATTGAGTCCAGCCTCTCTATGCCCTCCTCATCCGTCACAATATATATTTAGAAACTTCTCCCACCAAAATGTGTACCCCCAGGGCATGTACCTCCAAAGTCTGATTATGTCTGAACTCTGCATCCCAAAAGGTGCGTGTGTGCCAAGTTTCAGATTTCTAACATCTCTAGAACATGATTAGTATTAGCGTCAGTCAGTCAGTCATGATCGTCTATATATATTAGATATATGGTGTTTTGTCGCTGAAATTTTGTCTCAGGAAGTAAATCCACGATGCTTGACATGTATTCGCAACAAGGCCTCCAACATGTGGATTTTTTCTTGACTCTCCAATGAAGCTCTTGACTCAATACGTTAGAAACTGTATACATTTTCTCGATTATCACCAAAATGTAACATTTCCTCCTCTCGGATTTCCATTCAAGTATTCTGTTCCATTCAATGGTCTGAAATTTCAGACATCTTAAATTTCAGAACATGTTTACTATGATTTAGCAATCTGTTGTAGCAATCGGAAAAATTCAATTTATCATATGCAAGCAATAATAATGTATTCACGGAACATTTTTCTTTTATCCAGAGACCACAAGCCAAATGCAGGGATTGTCCGGAGCTTTCAAAACTGGGACGACTGCAAAGCAGCAAATGGAGGGGAAACTCGAACTTTCTTGGTTGCCTCAAAATATACATGGGTGCTGATGATGAGAGTCCGCTGAAGAAGGCTGCAGGGGAATACGCGACAGAGCACATCTCTGTTGCGTACAATAAGGGTTTTTCCCTACCGGAGAGGTGTACCTGGAATAGCAGGGAATGTATTGAACCAGGGAAATGGGGAGAAGGTCCGGCTGTTTCCAAGGTGTTCGAGAGACTTGAAGAAGCCCTCAAAGACAAGCCATCCCTCACAGTCGCTGACTTTGCCTTCATGGACAATTTCCTAGCAGGTATCAAGAAAGAGCGTAGAGATGAATTTGTCAAGAACTTTGGAATTGCCAAGGAAGATAACACGCCTGATAACCACAATATTTTCGGACTTGGAATTTCAAGCCGATATATCTGTGGAATTTGTTTTCAAATTAACGCAATAACATCGACTGAAAATCCTAAGGAAATCTCTCGTTTCCTTGCAATAGGGACAAAACAAATCGAGAAAAACTTAAATGATTTTCGAGTCATGTGCGATGAGTTTCTGGAAAGTGGAAACGAAAACGTGAATTTAGCAGGTTTCGTTGCTTTTCCAATGCTTTTAAAGTCGGATTTGCAGAATTCTATCCACTGCAGAGATTGCATCTCACAAATCCTCACCTCGGAGGATATCAATGACCAAGAGAGTTTTAGGAAATTCTTGGACAGAAGTGGGATAGCATTTGAAAAACTATGGGACAATAACTCCAAGTCCTCTGTCATGAAGACCTTCAAGGACGTATTCGACCTTTGCGTTTGTGCTGCTTCGGTCGTGGACCTGCCACGACATTCCACTCACGCGCTCATCAGTAGCCATGAACAGTCGGAGAAGTTGCTAATCCTTCTTACTCCTCAACAAAGACAATTGGTGAAGAGTGATTCGGAGGTTCTTCTCATGAGCGGAGCGGTGGGGACAGGGAAAACGGTTGTGCTTAAGAAAAGAGCTGAAGAGCTAGCAAAAAATGGCGAAGTGCTCCTCATTAACCTCGCTGGAGGACTCTTGACCTGCGACTTCCGAAGTCATTTCGCTGGTAAGAAAAAACCATTATTCAATTGAATGTTGAAAATCGCTGACTAATGCAATGATAAGTAGCATTGACCCTTTGCCATCATCTTCTCATCGAAAGGTAGTACTAACTGATAGAGAGGCCGTGAATTTTCTGAACAAACGAAATAATTTAATTTTCTGAGCATTTGAATAGTATGTCTGTCTCAATCATAGATAAAACCTGTATTTACAAAGGAAAGTAATTTATTATCGTTGCCTTTAAGATATTGAAAGCTGAAGGAAGCACCGTGAAGCACCATGCAGACTTTGCCCTGACAAGGATAAAGTACTTTAAATTCAGGAAGATTCAAGGTATGAGCATCATTTGTGGATGGTTCTGTTAAGGTTATTGGTCTTGCCGTTTTTCCTGAAATACATATTTATACTTGGAGGTATGCTTACTGACGGAAGGAATCTAGCAAATTCTGCTTCATACCTTTGCCACTTTTTACTTAACTTGACATTAAGTGAAATGAAAAAAACCTCAGCGTATCATGTATTCATTTCAACCCCAACAGAAATGGCGAAAGTCAAAGTAATTGATGGAAGAGAAGAGGGATTGCAGGGGGATCTAGAAGCCTTGAAGAAATTCCTTTCTGAGAGAGGGAAAGGAAAGCACGTCCTTCTCGATGAAGTTCCCATCACACTAGGATTCCAGAGCAGCATCACCGTAGACACTATTTCCAATCAATGGGGATGGATTGAGGATGCAAAGAGTTTCGTGAAGTCGATCACGGTCTCCTTCAGATCTAATGACCCGTCTGATGTGAATGATTATCTATGTCGGGATGTGAAACTTGGACAACAAGACCTCACCATATTGAACATTGTGAAGAGGAATAAGAAACATATATCCGAATTGATTGCGGGCATCAGGAATTTCCCAAAGAACATTTCCCCATTACATGAGGGGTCTCGCGTGAAGGAAGTTGAGAAATCGAGAGAAGCTGGGCTCCCAAGTTTGTTTCCGATTCCTTCTTGTCAAGCCCTTCATTTTGAATGCAGGGACAATGCGATCTGCGAGGCTATTAGGGCTTCGAGCTCCATTCACATAATATATGAGAAACAGTCTGAGTCATCAAAGAGGATGCCACTTTTCGTCGTCGTTGATGATAAGAAGAAAAGGAATGCCCTTGTGAACATCTTCACATCCTTTTATTCCGATGTCCCTGTTCTTTTCCTGCACTCGATTGAGTCGAAGGATACCAATTATTTAGATGTTACCACTGAACCTGATGACTTCGGTGGTACAAATGACAAATTCTATGATGCACTGGACTACTTCTATGATGCAAATGGTGACTTCGATGTCACACATGATTTGGATGATTCTGACAGAGCAGAATTCCTTGGAAATCTTGTTTCTGAAAAATCATTTCCGATTGTCTTCGTAACCGAGGAAGAATTGATGGGATGTCACCCGAAGAACCTCACGGTTGTTGTGGATTTTCCGCATTCGCATTGGAAGAACTACGAAAGAATGACAGCAACAGCTAGTGATAGCATGATTATATTGGTCGAGAAAGAAAATCAACATAACGGACAATACTATCATGGCCAGAAAGAGATGGATGGAATAATGATAACGGCGGATAAAATCAATGAAGCAAATCTCAATATGAGATTGGGAAAGGCATTGGAAACGTACGAAGGAGGGGAAATTAATGACTTGAAGAAGGTCTTCATTCCAGCACCATTTCCTTTGATGATTGGAGATGAATTGGGTGGTTGGGAAGGAGGGGAAGAAGAGGACGTGGAGAAGATTCTGGTTTCTCGCATTAGTGGAATATTTGGTGAGCCGGCCTCGGGAAAATCCAGGAGAGTGGATATGCTGATACGACAAGTTACGGGGCTGGGAGAGAGTGTCCTCCTTCTCCATCCTGGATGTAAATTGTCTTTAGAAGCCTACCGACGGCGCTGGGAGGATTCGGCTTCTGTGAACATCCGATGCTTTGAATCGAGGAAGATCAAGTCCCTCCAGGACATCTTCGACCTTGTGAAGAGAGTGAAAAACACTCTGAAGAAGGAAGACAGTGAAGACAACCAAAAACCAGAGTTCCAGGTTGTCGTGGTCGAGGACTGTCCCTTGCGCATCGAATTCGGGGGCACCTTGCAAGAATGCGAGAGTATGAGGCTCATTCTCGCATTCGAACCTCACTCAGGGGACGCTCCAACGGAGACAATGGAGAGAGCGAAAGCATTCCTAGAACAAAACCCACGTCAATGCTCTGCAATTGTACTACAGTCCCAATCGACTAACAAGTATCTCTTAAAACGTAGCCGGCGAAACGAAACCCTAGCCACCCTGAAATTGGATGAAAATAATTTTTTACTTCCTGCTTCATCCGTCGCGATTGTTCCAAGCCCACTGGTTCAATATGTCAACATAAACACTTACAATTGCCCCGGACAACATTTGGGGTACATCTGCAAGGGAGGCAGGACTTGTATTACATATCTCGCTGCTTTATCCTCTCTCTCGAAGGCTGCCCTTTCAGAGGAGAAAAACTGTCAGCCTTATACCCTGGTATCAGATAATGATGTTCTGGTTTCTTTAGAAGCACACGGTGATCTCCAAGTGACACATGCAAATAATTTTCGAGGTTGTGAGGCTTCGTTGATAGTCGCTGTTGATGTGAATGATGAATGGTTGCCAGAAGTGATCTCACGATCCAGAAATGGAGTCATTATCATCGACAGCCGACCTAGCCATCAGAATCTCTGGAACAACATGATCCAGGAAGGACGCATGGAAGTCTGCGACTGCCCCTTCATCAAGGATATCGATGACCGGAGAATCCTGCTCACACTAGATGCTAAGAAAAAATTCATGCTGGTAACTATTATTTTACATCAGCTCAGCCTCTCTTTTATTTATATTTCTCTCTCTCTATTATTTCCTCTCTCTAGTTTAACTCGTGTAATGCGACCTGTGCGTATAGCACAGCTCACATTATACAGGGTGGTCCTTTTTACTCCAACAAATGTTTTGTAATAAAATGGGACTAAAATGAGCTATAAAAAAGTGTATTACAGGAGAATGAAGTACAAACATAGGAGATTCCCAAACCAATTATCATTATTCCATATTTTGATATTACACTTTGTAAATGTTTTCCTTCCCAAATGATGCATTCTCTGCATCTAATATGTTGTTCATAACTGTTCTTATTGTTTCTTCAAGTGCAGTGATAGCCGCAGAAATTTTTATTTCAAGTTAATTTCTATTCTGGGAAGTCCCTTGCAAACATTGGCCTTCAGCATCCCCCAAATCCTCATCCTCCAAAAAAAAAGAAATCACTGGAAAATCACTGGAAGGGCAATATACCGTATTTATATTGCCCTTTTCCAAGTTGAATACAATAAGATGGACAATCACTGAGAGAAGTCAAGTCCTTGACCATTTTCACAATAGTTTCGAGATACCTGTCAGAGAGCTCGAGTGGGTGCAGGGTTATTCCTGGTCAAGGGATTGCCCTTCTATCAGTGAAAGTCCATTTCTTTATATATATACAAGCATACACTTATATAAGTCAAATACATACATTGATGAATGTATGCTCTCATTGAACCATTGAAATAGGTTTTCACTTTCCTACATGTCTCATTAAAATGGTCCTATTGGCGAGTCCATGAACAACAGACTTGGGATTCATTTGTATTTCAAACAATATAGTCATAATCTTAGAGTCTGTCGACCTAAGTAACTCTTGAGTAATCGTAGACACCGCGTGAAAGAGAATATTTCGTTCACATGATCTTTATTTTATATTTAAACATATGACATAAAAAACTGAAGAACTGTTGCCAAAAATAAAACGATATTAATTTGTATTGAATAATTTCCATCCTAGGCTACCAATATAGGTATGCACAAATATTGATGTGTTCCCCAATGAAATAGCTTGGGAGGAGCGCAACTTTGAGACGTTATTGCTGGCAAAAAAAAATTAAACTGGGTTGAGGTCTTTCAAAATTGGAAAAGCTCTTCCATATTCACCAGGAACTTCATGTGCAGAAAACCGTGGGCTTTTCATCAAATGGGTTGTAGTTAAACACTTTTCCCTTGTAATATTTATTATTATTATTATACATAAGTTTATTTCCTCTCTCCGATACGAAGTACCCAGCCTTGTTTGAACGATCTTCCTTGTGTTGCAGGTGCCAACCTGGAATGACACGGCGGAGAGAATTGGAAAGGAGGCAGTAATGAGCCTCCTCGACAAAGACAGTGGTGCTATCCTCTCGCTCCCGCCAGAGGCGTGGGAAGAACTCAATATCATTGCTCCTCTGCCTTCACTCTCGTCCCCTTTCTTCGAGTGGGCATACGCTTGGAATGGTAAGTGGGAGGTGCTTAGGATGTATCATGACCATTATTTGTGACGTGCTAGTAAAAGCCATTTTCTTCTAAGTTACTATAAGCAGTATGGATTCTGTATGTTTGCCTCACATATTCACCGAAGAGCCTTCCCCTTGATATCGTTCTGAAGTATTTTAAAACAAATGTACTGGGATATTCCTTGAATGAATTGAAATCTTAAAAAAGCGAATTTGGATAATGAGGAATGAAACCGTCAGATTTCGTAAAGTGTCATCCATGAAAAGTGGGCTGAAAAGCTTGCATTTCAAACAAGCTTTCATCCTTTTTGCAAGCCAAGGGTGGGTACACTAAATATTGAAATAAGTAATTTATCAATGGGTGCGGTAGCGCCCATTACCTTTCTTCAACCTCTTCCGGTGACAAAATTCAACCGTCTCGTATTCTTCTCTGAGAAGAACAGCAGGAATGAAATTTGTTATGCTCACTCCTCTTTCAGCACAGAATCGCTCCAACAAATTTCGAGCTCCATCTCCCCGCGGTTGCGGAGAACACTGAACCTCGCTTTTGGGAAATGTGAATTTCATTCCGGTATTTTTAATTCACCACCTGGGTAGTCCTCCTAGGCGGTTTTCAGAGAAAATGAACACCCAAATCAAAGATATTGACCTGAAGGTGACAAATAATCCCTTTCTTTGCGCTCAGTGTACCATTTCGCCACTTAAAAAATGAAATTAGATGCCGTTAATTTCGGCTTAGCGCATTGGCTCCGGTCCCGTCCTCCAGTGTTGCCGGATATCATGCCGGCGTTATGTCATATTCATGGCTTCTTTAGCCTTAGTATCGTTACCTGGATTTTCTCTTTCCAATTTAAGAAAAATTACTGTGCTGAATTAATGGGGTGAGCTGAGACTGAAGAGGTGATTTACAGTGGCCGATACATTTGGCGCAAGGATATATATACGGATATATATTTCATCGGACATTATTAAAATAACATGATGGAGGCCAGCTCGTTTGTCATGGGAACTAAAGGCACCTTCTGAGAACAAGTCGAGACGATTCGAGGAACTCTGGATAGGCCTAATGTTCCCCGATCGCAGTGAAATGTCTCATGAAACTCGAAAAAGACCTACATTCGATCTAACGTTACACGTTTTCTGTTAAGTGGGCCATGAGAGACTGAAAAAGCCTGCGATCGGCCTGACGTTACAAGTCCTCAACGATGTGTCTCGAGGACAATATATTATTCCTGATCAGCCTAATTGGCCAGGCCTAGGCCTAACGTTAGTGAGTTCCGTAGAGAAGGTGGGAGGTGGTGTGAGGGTGAGGGTGAGGCTGGGTTGAGGTTGAAGAAAGGTAAACTATTGAAATTGGTTTACACATTCCAACATGTCTCCTTAAAATGGTCCTATTTGCGAGTGCATGAACAAAAAAACTACTGCAATGCACGACTCAATTTGAACGTTCATATTTTCGTGTAGGAAAGAGCTAGAGACACGAGACAACCATATTTGCATAGCTCAAGGCCAGGGTTGTCAAATGAAGCAAGGACTGTCAAGAGTGTTCCTCTCCAGCATATGATAAAGCCAAAAACGTCCCAAAGCTCATGACATTGCGCCAAATTGTTGGGTCACTGCAGATATTGAACATTATACTTGCGGCCTTCTGCCCAAGGACCAAAACTTTGGAACTGAGAATAGTCTTAGCCAGATACTCCCGGCTAAAATGTAATATACAATTATTGATGGAACATATATTGATACATTGTACCATATGTCAGAAATCAGAGGGTTCTATGGCCTAGGCTATGGCCCAGAGAATGAGAGCCTTGTAGGCCTTGCGCGTTTGTCATCGCGCGTAGCCCATACGACTATGCCTTTCTGGGTCATAGGCTACACCGTAGATGCATGTAACTCCTGACATGTTACACTCTGTATACATTAAATAAATACTGAGGCACAGTGTGGTATGCCTGCCTGTACACACAAAAAACCCCCCAAAAATGAGTTCATCATGGGTCTAGTAAAGGAATATGGTATGAATCCTGAAAGATTAAGGAACGTGACACACATGGGAATGAAACGGACGTTTCTTTCGAAATAAAATTCCCAATCAATGGATTCCACAATTAAAGAAGTACTTTTTCACATACCACATCGTCGGCAGTTTTGCCATGCTTCGATCCATTAATAATCGGAATCTTCAGCGAATCCTCAAAGAGAACTCGCTAACTGGCAATGAACAATCGCCCATGCGTCAGTACTGGTTCCAGAAGTAGTAGTCCAACTTCGAATGTCTCTCCTTGAGACTTGTTTCTGGTCATACTGTTGGCAAGCACTTTAGAGAATTGACGTCGACAAATACGGGAGCGTATGTGACCTCAGATGACGTGTCGATTGAAACTCTTTGCAGCAAATTAGCGCTGCTACAAAGCGCACCCGTCATCACCTCATCTTGTAAGACGTTTGCGGTCATGTTTCGATCATACGCGTGCCGTTGCAAAGGCCATTCCCAATTGAGGGACTCTGCAGAAGCATTACGATAACTCCAATTTTAAGACTCAAGGCGTACGGAGGCCCACGGATTGAGAATGTTCAATAATTCGACAGAAAAGTCTACGCAACGCTCATGAACATTCTGTTCAAATTCATGCCATATTTGAATGAGCATGATGTACGGGAATGCTTTACCAATGCCACCGGGCCCATCGTTGAAGAACCGGCGATGTATCAATACTTCCCGTTACGAATTTCCAAGCGCCACTTCATTTGAAGCAGCACTTGAATACATTCGAGCGCAGAGTGCCATTCCACAAGTGTTTCCTATCACCTGGCAGTTTAACCTTTTCCACTCGAATTTTTGCAAGAGTCAATGTACCAATGGACGAGTATACTCGCCCATTCGAGTGGAAAAAGTTAATCATGTTTCTATATCTTGAATGAACATGTTGCACCCAAGAATGTATTTGTTTTTTGTTTTTTTTTACGCAGGAAACTTTCAAACCTCCTTAGCAATGCAATGTTTCACACTTATGATGCCCAATGCATGTGCGTAATTTTACCAGCCTGTGCTGACATTTTCCAAGAGTTTTGTGGAATTTCTTTCTCATGAATTTATTCCAGTATTTGTTGTATTGGCCTTAGTCTTTTCATGCGCATTTTTTCCATTGAAGGAAATAACGTGGGTAAATTCTTAAGATCTCGACATTCGCTGGATGCTCGAGCGTATATTTACGTCCCCCTCACCGTATGCGTTACAGTATGTGAAATAAACAAAGACTGCGAGTGACAGCTAAAACTTTCGCAGCGAAAGGATTAAACCATCCCACCGATCCTTTGACCGAGGCAAAAGGCTCGTAGGCCTAATGTCTCGGAATGAAAATCCAAGCAGTGCTCAACAGAGCATTCCACATTAATATGGTTACGATCATGCAAAAACGGCTGGAATGATGTTGGGCGTCCTAGCCTTACACAATTCGAGTATTGTTAGAGGTTCGACGCTTGCACGCGTAGCTCTGCGCAACCTTACAGCCTCATATTGCTCTACAATAAATGCGGCTCTTCTTCTATCAACATTAATACCTTCAAGTTGCTCATGGCCAGTATAGATCAATGTAGCTATGCAGCCTCGGTTCTTCTAATGCGCGCATGGATCACATATTATTAATCAGTCTAACAGCCTCCCACCCAACCAAGGTAAGCTAAGGCAAAGGCTTGTAGGCCTAACATCCGCATAGACGAATCACAAAACGAGCCTAGCCTATTACATGCAAAGGAAAAGGCTCATGGGTCAGTCGGCTAACAAGCCTATGATCTGGAGAAGCAAAAGCTTTTAGGTCAATGGGCTATGTTGCCTATATCATTGAGAGGCAAATGCTTCACAGGCCAAAGGTTATACCTACCATGAATCTCCTTAGCGTATTCTAATATATATGGATACATTATACAAGTCCTAATATTTTTCCTGACTTCGACCGTCACTCGGCAAAATGCGATTTTTGTTACGAAGTTGACATCTTCCACATAGTATGTGGAAGGTGTCAACAATTCCCCATAATATAAAATATGAATGCCAAAAAAAAAAATTGCATTTAAAAATAAAATAATCCCATGCAAAAGTTAGATTATTGGAAGTAAGCTCTCATTCAAACCGATTAGGAGCTTACCTCATCATTTTCTCTCTTTCTAGGAGATCCAGGGGAGGTGGCTCAATTGCAGTATAGTGAAACAGTAATAGAGATTCTGCAGCAGAGCGGGTTGGAGTGGGACAGCAGGGCTTTTCCACCAGTGCCCCTGGAGACTGAAAGGAGGAATGGGGGGCGAGGACTCCTAGAGTCCTTGTCCCTAATCCTCACAGGATCCCTCCTACACCTCCCTCTACTCAAGGTCTGGTTCTCTGCTCCGATTTTGATCACGTCTCTCAGAATTGATCTATAAAACGAGTATTAGCATAATTAGAAAAAAGGTGGGAAAGAGATGACAACACGTTCTTGAACATACTTTCTGCAGGAGAAGCTAGGGGATGATGATGGTTGCGACCTTCTTCCGCTAATACAGCAGGCTGCAAATATACTCAGAAGGCCCATCGTTGTTATTGGAAGAAGCCACTTGTGGAAATCTGAATATGGTATGTTTTACTTATTATTCATCTTGAATAATGATTCATCACGTAATGATCCTAAATGCGGACATAAGTCCTAAGGCCATGTGTCAATGAATCGTTGCTTGAAGGGGAAACATTCTATGCATGCGGTCTTCGACGACTGTATCAACAGACATTGAAACATCTAATACTTTAATTCGAAGTGCTCAAAAGTTGTGGTGATGTTCGTGGCTGTCACCCCCAACGCGCGGGCCTACGATGCTATGCCATTCTGAGTCATAAGCTAGGCCATTCACCCCTCAAAGCGCCAGGTCCATGAGGCTATAGGCCACAGGCTGTGGCTCATCTTATTTCCATAGGTTTCATACTTAGCTGGGTCAATCAAAGGGTGGTACTAGCTAAATGCATGTCACGTTTTCACTGATCTACTGCAAGTTCTCCATTTGAATACTGTCTTTGCTGAAGTGTTTTTTTTTTCGCTCGGTCAGGCGTGGCGGTTCTCGCCATCGCTTCCATGCAATAGTTTTCTGTTTGCGTTTCATTTCATCACCGATTTATTTGAGTTCTCATGATTGATGAAGTCAAAATTATAGTCTAAAAAGTTTGTTTTTTATGTCGCGCAAGCGAGGTGCACCTTCCATCAAAATGGTGGCGATTTTTGCGAAGTGATGTTGAACGCGAAGAAGAAATGTTGAAGGAGGTCCCACAGAACGACGATGAGGCAATTGCTGGTAAAAAAAAAAAAAAAATTGGTGCAGGCGCGGAAACAACGTTTTCCCCTGCAGTTGCGGTACGAAGTGCCTATATCGGTGCTTGCCGAAATGACTAGAATCAGTTATGAACAGCAAGCAGATGTACGTAGGGAGCGTAGGGCCGCTCAGACTGCTGAACGGCAAGAGGCAGCGAATGCTGAGCTCCGGAACAGGAGCGCCATGCAGCCTGCTGAACAACTTGATGTAAGGAACGCAGCACTCAGGTGTCGAAAGCCGGGGGCAGCCAGAAATTGAATCCGGACCTACTGCTTGCCGGTCAGGTGTGCTACCATTACACCACGAATCTCGGGATGTTATGCCTCCCCATGTCATCACAATCGCTACAGTCGTTTGCCGCAGCGAGCACTGTCAGGCTGTACATTTTGATTTTGGGAGGGGGCATTTATTTCACATTGCTGGCACAATAAAAAAGTGCTCCTGCTGCAACTCACACTTTACCCTGAGGCTCTGAAAGTATTGCTCATTGGTGCTAATGTGGCGGCGAGGCATTTTCAGGAATTATTCGCTAGCATTGTACCGCACATGCGCTAACTTCCCTTCGTGTCATCGAACAAGTTCTTGGAAATGGTCCATAATGTTTCAGAATTATTGGTGTCTATACCATACGCTGACGCTAATAGCACATGAGCTAATCAGTGATGCTAAAGTAATAAATAGGCTCGGAAGAGGAAATCAGTAAAGTCGTCTTGAGTCTCATGAAAACGTGCTAAACCGAGGCGTTCACAATGGCGATTGTGGCAATCAGCTGGGATATCATGATGATGGTGCTTAGGAACAGAATCTTCCTGAGTACTGTAAGCTATATGTGTATAAGTGTAATGAAGCGGTTAAGTTCCGAATGGGTAATGCGAACAGAGGATTGCCAAAGAGGAGACGTTATGCTCACAATAGACGATTCAAATGTCCACCTATTAGACGGCCAGCGTAGCGGCCGCAGGCCGCTAGTACATTTATATTTCAATGCAGCATATCAAATCATCACCTCACTGCACTGGCCAGTTGAACTGCTACAATGCACATCCCGAACATGTTAACAGGTCGCACGAAAAATTTATATTCGATAGTTTTGCTAATGTTTGTTCGAGCTGATGTTGAGACGCCACAAAGCATTAATACCTGGTACCATCTAGGTTTCTGTATGCCCCCGAGCATACCAACACAATGGGCGACGGTTCGATATGGCCAAGCAACGGCACCACATGTTTCCTGCAAGCATCTAAGACATTTCCAAGCATCACGACCGAATCATGTCTGAATCATGATGAAGGCTTTTCTTTATTCCTATTACGATATCATGAAGAACATAGTTACACAGCAGCTATATACTATTAATTTTTACTTAATGTTCACAACCAATTCACTGACGTATAGAAAAATGTTCGTGACATTCAGGGTGGCTATATACGGTTTGAAAAGTGATAATTTTCAGCCATGACTAATTTTGAAATTGCTGATGTAATAATATGACTTTGTGCACGGTCTTCATATGTACATATGCATTTAAAATGAAGTTGGAACTTTTAGAGACTAGGGATGCCCCAAACTACAGCAAAAGCGAATTTAAAAAAAAGTCATTGTAAGTATCAATTAAACCGCATCGCCGTGGCTCAGTGGATGAGGCCTTGTGGCTCAGTGGATAAGCATGTGGGAGGTTTAGGTTCAAATCCGATTGGTGGCAGACAATACTGACTTTGACAGGTTATTCACCCAGCTACCTGTAAGAAATGCGTACTCGGCCTCGGGCATCAGCATAGGCCTTAATTGTATTGGAGCCTGGGGTTCGGTGTGCCTCTAAGACACTCACCCCACCAAGCCTATGGGGTGAGTGACAGACAGCCCAATGTGCAATGAAAGGCTGCTTTGTATGTCATGCAAAGAAAAGTAGCCTTCATGGCACCGACATTCTTCTGCACCCAGACAGACTCACGCACACATGCACACGTATATTATTATTATAATGTGTCGAGCAATGAATAATATGAATTGTGAAGTATAGGTTAGAAAAATGTATTGCATTCCCAGGGCGCCAGATGTCAGTCGCTTTTTGGCAATATAGAGGTAATTTTCCTTTTGCAGTAGTACACCTACATTTGGAATGGCTTAGTCATGTTCATTAAGACAAGAACATATGCATGTAGAATGTATATTGTACAGGGACTTTCATCCCGGAAAGGAAAGAGTGCGACGGAGGTGTGATATGGTTGGGATGGATCCTGCTTTTCGCTGAAGACGCCAACTTCCCGGTTGTGCCCGTGACCATATATCCGATTGTGCCTCAACTATGTAAGTAATTTTTCAAAGAAGCGGATGCGTTACAGTTCCTACTGTTAGTTTGTAGGAGTGTAGAGGAGAGTGATAAGCAGCGAGACGAAAATATATACATTTAGAATCTCATGAAAAATTACAGATGGATAGGACATCTTGCAGTAGTGCATTCGATTAGAGTTATGCACCATGCTAATATTCTCAATATTTTTATTTTAGTATTTCCAACTAAAAACTCATCAAAGCAAGCTATGAAAAGAGGAAGAGTTCGCTCGAACAAATTCCCCACCACCAAGGCAGTCTGGCCCATATTGACTCCCGTCTCACTCATTCCCTATGAACCTGTCTCATTTTCCTTCTTTCTATAACACAAATTCAAAGAAGGAGGTGCATGTGTACCTCTGCCTCAAATAGGTATGTGGAATCCTCTTACCAAGAAGGGGAAAACCAGCCGCTCATATTAAAAATATATATATATATACAAGGTTATCATGAAGTCACCACCTTATTTTGATTGGATATAACTTTTGAAGGGACTGTCATATTCAGCTGATACTTGCCAGTGAGGTTCATGAGCCCAGGTTTTTTCCCATGTCGGAAGATGGCGCTGCATGCCGATAGATGGCGCTGATGTCGACCGCAGTGCCATCTATCCACTTGCTATGTCATTTTTCAGGTATGCGTAAAAATCCTCTTTGGTCCATGAGCCTCTCTGACAAATATGATCTGCTTCCGAGAGTCCTTTCAAAAGATTCGGTCAAAGAAAGTTGGATGATGACTTGTAACAATCGAACTTTGGTCATTACGTTTAATGGAATAGTCAAATGCAGCTGATGTTTGACAGAAATGTTCTGACTTATTATTCGTTTTGACTTATTCTTTCCTTGCCCGGCACAAGTGTGTACATATTGACTGGGGACACTGTGATCGCATATGCGCAGGTGAAATATGAAGGGACACGAAGGCTTAGCTTACAGTTTATGTATCTGTAATACGTAGTAACAACGTATCAATGAGAGACGTTACTGCACTGAGAGTTTCACCATCGTTTGCCGGGAGTGGTAGGAATGCTAGACACATTCCTTCATTTTTTAAGCCAATTCTTATTCTCTATTTCTTAGCTTTGCTTATGCTACCACAGCGTCACCTGCCAACAAGCACAAGCTTGTGCCGGTCTAGGGAACGAATGGCATAGACCCATGAACATATGTGTTGAACATCAACTGCATCTGACTATTCCTTTAAAAGTTATGACCAAAGATCGTTTGTTACAAATGACTATCCAACTTTGCTTGACCATATTTTGTGATAGGACTCTCGTATGCAGATAATATTTGGCAGAGAGGGTCATGGATCAAAGAGGCTTTTTACCAATTGCATATAGCTTTTAATACCGGGGGAAATGGTTCAATCTGTCAAAGTAAATTTTAGAAGGACAATAAGGTGATTGCACTACTCTTCAACATTTTGAAAATAATTTGTCACTTATCAGATTTTTTATTAATTCAAATACCAATGGTCTTACTTTATATTCAAGAATGAGTATACAGGAATGTGAAAATAATCAGAACGAAAGTGTGAGGTAAGCAGCTCTCCCGAGCTCTTGACGCCGTCATTATTAAAAATATCCGAAGCCATCGTTTCATCCATATCCTCATTAGTGCAACTTTTTTTTTCTTATGATTTGATTTTTCTTTGATTTTTCTCGATTTCCCTGTCCTATAGTGCCATTGTCCCATTAGCCCCTGTCCCCGAACTTTTCTCGCTTTGGATGATGATGAGGCTACTTGTTCTCAGCGAACGTTAGATTGAGGAGTGAGCCAATTCTTTGTTGAAAGAATAAAACACATATTTCTTGTAGAAACTGTTTCTGCATATGTGAGAATCAGATGGCTTACTTTTGGATGATTCTTTTGATCGTAGAATGAAATTGGATGAAGTGATGAACTGGAATTTGAATAGCGGGAGAATTTCAAGACTTTTGTGCGCATGATCCCTTAGGTTCCCTTTATTATTTCTCATATTTCATATCCAAAGGTACTGGAGATGTTTGCATGGGGGTGGAGCAGCTTCCCCCAGTGTACGGGAATGATCGGCTCCCATTATCCGTGACGAGAATCAAATTCCAAGGCAATTTGGAAGTGACATGGTACAAACACACGGTGCCTCTGCTTTGGGCAGTGGACACGGCACTTGGAGGATTGCCACATCTTTGGAATGGTAAAGGGTGAAATGAGTTTAATATTTCCTTCCCCTATCCCTTATGTGTATCAAAAGTAAACTCTTTATGGCCGCGGAGTCATTTAATGAGTGTAAATTCAAGCAATACATTCCAGCAGCATCTAACATTCGTCACAAATTATATGTGAGAAAATAAATGTTATCAATCCTAAAAGTTAGAAGACGGTTACAGTATGGCCAATTGAAATTCAATATCGCTAATTACTTCACAGTATGCATGGGACCTTGCCCTATTCATTAGAAACGACAAGCCATGTATCCCCCCACCATAATAAAGCCACTTTCCACGTTTTCTCCGCTGGTCCATGTGACTATTAGGAGGAGAAAGAGCATGCATATTTGTTAATATGTTCCTCTCCACAATATTTATGGGACATATAAAAATATATCGCCAATGAGTTCATGTTAGATGTTAATGACTCCACTATTTAGGCGCTTCGGCAATCGTATGTTAGCATTCATAACTTAGTTGTACCTAATTCGCATATATGAAGTTCTCCTGTCCTGTCTGTCAGCTGAAGTGATAAGCATATTACATGTATATTACAAGCATATTCGCATATATGAAGTTCTCCTGTTCTGTCTGTCAGCTGAAGTGATAAGCATATTACAGAGACTAACCCAGGTATGAACGTTGTTTTTTTTGGTTCCTACGTCGGATAAGGTGTGGAGTGAAACCATGGACAGGGTTTCCATTGTCCTTTGCTCTTTACCCAGTGAAGCAACTTGAATATTTGGGACTCCGTCAGAAGTTCAGATAGAAAAAGAGAGTTACAAATAAGTTCAACGGTTTCATTTGTTCCGATATCCGCACTGATTCGGACGCACCCATGCCTTTTTCGAATGAAAAGGTTTCTTTGATTTATTTAATTCTTAAACTATTAATGTAAATATGTATGTGCATTAAAGTAGAAGAATGTCTCGGTTTCTTTTGGAAATACCATATTGCTTTGACTATTAAAATGTAAATCATGAGAAGTAATAATATGAATGTCCTTTTTTTCCATTTATGAGTTGTGCAGTACTTATAACAACTGTTGCAAAAGTCCGTAGAAGGAAACATGCTTAAAACGGACATGTGGAAAGTGTCAAACAAATTAGACTGGCAGAAAAATGCACATTTAAACAGCTGGGACAGAATCCTGAACTCATGCTGCAACTTAATTGTAACTCCTTTCTGATAAAATGTGCTAGGTCATCCCATTATTAACCTTGAGTAACTTCTCGATACGCGAGAAAGTAATTAATAACTAGAATCCCAACGTTGACTTGTGGAGTACGGGATTAAAGTGTAATTGCTCAAATGAACGATCGCATGTTAAGCTCAGATTCATCTGTCATCTGCTCAGGCAAGCTCAATGTGTTGAAATCTCTCTTCTTGTAGAAGAAAGGGGCACGGTACGGACACGCATCCTTGGGGATAACTGCGGTGAGAACGCCTCCCCCCTTAACCAGGATAACACACTCCTCATGCTTGAAACCATATTTCCGCATTCCAGAGAAATTGGCGGTGTACGGCAACTCCAGGCTCAAAGAAAGTTTCGGTACTAAATATTATATTTCTCCTTGTATCCTTTGTTTGCTCATTGCGGGACGAAGGTTCTCTTCTGCTTTTAGATCAGCTAGGGGATTTTGAAACGTACATGCTACTAAAAATCATCGGTACAGAATCCCTCCATTCACTTTTCGTATCCATTTCGCTCAGCATGTCCTGAAATCCCTTCTCTTCTTGCAGACAAACTGGGGAAGTTCGAGATTGACATGTTTTTGATGAGTTTCGGTAGATAACCCATTCTTTCTGCTGTTAAGTTCTATCTGGAATAAAAATTCAAAGAAGAATCTCTTCTTTTCGCAGAGACACTGGGGGTGTTGGGAACTCGTAGATTCCTTGAATGTTTTGGTGAGAAACAGTTTCTTTAAGCGCTCCTTTTCTCCTGCCGCTCTTAATATGAAAAAATTCTCAAATGACATTCCAGTGCATCTGGAGGTGGGTAAGAGACGAAGAATCTTAACTATGTTTAACGTGGATATCCCAAATTCTTCTCCCTTACTCGTTCCTGCTACCCCCGTAACGGAGTCTCTCGTCAGCTCGCAAATCAACTTTGGAAGTGACGGATTTATTATGCTTCTCAAAGTATTTGGTAAGGTATACCTTCTCACGCCTTCGGATGTTCATCCCAATATTAATTAAACTAATTTTCTTTTCTCCCTATAGTCAAATTGGGGAAGGACGAGACATTGCAAATCTTAAGAAGATTTGGTGAGATTCATTTTTTCACAAACTCCATGTCACGCTTCATGTGACAACGTATTTTATTTTGCAGACGAACTTGGTTCGCCTTGTACCCACAGCCTCCTTGAATGGTTAGGTAAGGATATGCCTTTTTTAGCTTCCAAACTCTTTCTTACCGCATGCAGCAAATCCTTTGTTCTCTCTGTCCTATCTGAAGGGAGACTTGCAGAGTCGGGGACTCTTGCATCCCCAAGAATTGGTAAGAAACTTGTAATCACTGTTAATTATTTATTTGACATTCATCACGTTATATAATCTCTCTTCTATTCTCATAGATTTACAAGAGGACGAGGAGTACAAGCTTCTCGAAAGTTTCGGTAAGCTCGTTTCGTAAGCCTTCACTGTTCTTTCACCTGATCTCATGTGACAAAATAATATTTGTACTTTTAGATAAACTGGGAGCATCAGGAATTAGCGGACTTTGGGAAATTATTGGTACGGAAATACTGCATCGACTTCATCTAATCGAAACAAACATTGTGGTGACTGTTTCCTTCCTTTTGGCAGACATTCTAGGTCCAAATGCGACAAAATGCCTATTGGAATGTTTGTGTAAGACTCCTTTAATTCCCTGCTTAATTTCCGTATTGCTCCTAATACGACAAAAGTTATATGTTTTACTTTCTCAGACATGATGACAGAAAATGATAGACGCAGTCTCCTGGAAAGTTTCGGTATGTATGCTATTCATACTCCTCTCTGTTTCCATGACACTTTTCAATTGGTGAAATGCTTCTTGTTATTCTTCATAGATAACCTTGGGGAGGTTGAGAGACTCCTGGAATGCTTTGGTAATGAATATATTATTCATTGTGTTTCTTAGTGAGTTTCGTACTCCTTGAAGAAATCTATGCACCAGTGGCAAAATAATCCGCTCCTCCCTCAACGTACTCAACGATCGTACGCATTGCATAATGTTTCGTATCGCCTGCTCTCCTCAACTTTTCCAGTTTTGCTCAGAATGGCACGACTGCTTGACAACTCTGATGGGAAACATGTCCGGGACCCTTGAAACAACATCTGCATCACAAAGTCTCCCATGGATAATATTCATCAGTTTCGCACTTGATAGTTATGGCATCCAAGCGAAAGAAGACCACTTCGGACGCAAATCACATCATTACTTGGTATTTCATCAATAATAATTCCTAAGCGTTGAAATCCTTCCATTTACTCAGGGCCGCCCAGAGGTTTCCAGGGGCCCCGGGAAAAACTAAACCAGAAACCCATGGGGGGCCCTCTTGAGATCTTTTGGAGGCCCCCTTGGAACCCCTTGATACGTGGGAACCGAAGATACGGTGGTCGTCAAAATTAATGTACCTGGGTTTTCTCGAAAGATAGGGAACCTACGCTGCTCAAACGTTTTGCATAGGACGGCTGCCCATGAGTGCTGATCCGCTTAAAAAATGGGTGACTCTAGTTCGTTACATCCCAGTTACGCAACTGTTTTTCATCAGCGTGAGGAAAAATGCTACTTTCGATGAAGAATCGCTACGAGATTGATTTCATGTCACTCGTCCTTGCGTCTAAAGCTCTCTTCTGCGACATCGCAAAGTACAAAAAGATCTCAAAACTAGCGAAGGCCAGTTGGTTTACTTCAAAGCAGGCGACTAACCGGAGAGTTGAGAATGGGGTGTTCCGTTTGGACTGGCCGTCGCAGTCTCCCGGCATTAACTTTATGGAGAATGTGTGGGCTCTTCTGAAGGTCAAAGTGGCCCCTCGGCGCCCCAGAACGATCAAGACTTTAAGAGCAGTAATTAAGGAGGAGTGGGAGAATCTGAGTGAAGAATTCGCCGAAAAATTGGCAGACTCGATGCCTTGATGATTACGTGTTGTAATCGAAGCGCAGGGCCATTATACTCTGTATTGAGATCAGGCCTCTGTATGCACATTATGTTGATATAAAAGGCTTCCTACATCTCTCGTTGAAGAAGAGATAACCCTGTACGGTAATTTTGACGCGTATTGTACTTACAAGTCTTTCCATGGGGTACTTCAGAGTAATCCGTGTATCTGGAAGTTTAATATTCATCCATTCTAAAGACTATCCACAAACCATGCATTTCTCTTTCTAAGGGTTGTCAGATTGTTGGGTCATTCGGAGTGGTACTTGCTGGCTGGGCGGGATTATGGAGTAGGAAACATTATGCAAAGCGTGGGAATAATTTTGAAAGCAGTACGAAGCAATATGCCACTCACGCGTAACATCAGGTGACAGGTACGAGAGTCAATGGGAAACACTGTATATTCCTCATGACTTTTAACAGTTCTAATTTTAGATAATCTCACTTTAGAGGAACGGGGAATTTTCCTGACTTGCAGACTACTCGAATGTTATGGTAAGTAACTATCCTCTTTCCCTCTCCCCCTCACTGTTCCACGACATAAGGTAAAGGGGACACCTTTTTTTTCATGGAGATCAACTAGGAGCTTCCGGGACGTATAGACTCCTGGAATGTTATGGTAGGACGCCTCTCCTCACCGCCTCCATCTCCATTTTACTCTTTATTTAATTAATTTCATTTCCTGCCTGTAGACAAACTGGGAGCGTCGGGGACTCACGAACTATTCCAAAGTTTCTGTGAGGAATCTCTTTCACAAATTCTAGATTAGAATTCCACTCTACCTGCAATGAAAATTATTTTCTCCTGCAGACAACTTGGAGCAAGAAGATAGACATCGATTCCTGGGTCGTTTTTGTAAGATCATGTATTTTTTTACCCTCCGCATCTCCGGAAGCTTCACGTGACTAAATCTATTATTCTTTCAGGGAAATTGTAGGAAGATACAGTTAGATGATGGAAAAGCAATGTCGCATCCTACAGAGGTACGTCCGTTCCGTGAAAAAAATTTTATGCTGGATTGCACTATTTATATTTTTATGAAGGCTGATGTGTGGAACATGTGATTGCGCATGCTTGTGACATGCGCATTCTTTGAATGAAAATGTAATAAAAAATGAATGCACTGATTTTAGTTTAATCATGACCCACTACCATTTACACCTATACATTTTCTTTCTGCTTTATGCTTCTTACCATATTACCCAAGGTACCAACTCCTTCATCCATATTTCACATGATTTCAGCGGACCTCAGAGAAACCTCGTTTCTACGTTCCCAATCTCTCGACCAACCGACGGATGACGCCCATCACGTCACAAGAGGAAATGGGGTCAGAAAAATGAGATCATCTGATGTGTTTTCCAGTCCTTCATACCCGAGACTGCGGTCTTAACTGTATTAGACAAATGCATCTACATCATGGCATTCGAGGAGGTAGAACGCCACTTCCAGTTGTTTAGGGAGGGATCCGAGGGAAAAGCAATCTCTTTTGGCGAATATTCGGCAAAAATTAGGTTTATGTTTGCTGCATCCATTTATCTAGTTTACAACGGTAACGAACCGAGTCAAGTATCCGTGAAGGAAACTTATTCTGTATCTTACACCTATACCAAATGAATATTCACTGATTGTATGATAATAAAATATTCACTTTTCCACGAAAAAATGAGCTGTGGAATATCCTCTCCACAGAAAGGAAAATCGCTGGGAATCCTAAGATCCTCTCGAGATGGTATGTGGAACTATGCTGAAAACGCGTGATGAGGACCAGGACATTATTATTTTTGAAGAATTAAATTTCTCGCTCATAATGATGCCGAGTTGGCATTTGTCCCCTTTAAATAAAAATCAGAAGTTGAGCTAATAGCTCATTCCTTTCTCTTAATAAACCTGGTCATCACATTTCCTCTTAGCAATTATTGCTATTTTTACCATGAATCTGGCTGGAGGAGACCTGCGAGTTGCACAGTTGACATATTTAATGGATTGAATGAATTTCCGAACCTGTATGTACTGTTCTGGTAAACAATGGAACGAAAGGCAAGCGCGATTGAGAGTGAACTATGAAGGCCGGCATAACGTGAAGCCTTATGAGGAAAGAAGGCTGATGGGAAGAGCTGGAACCTACCCCTCACCCCCCCCCCTCCTCAGTAACTCTGATCTAGATGCATGCACGAGAAATCAGAAAGTCTAAGACTTTGTTGGGTGGGTGGGGGAGGGAATAACTTGAGATTTTGATACGTCCCCCTCTCTTTCAATGCTGAGCAGAGTACCTCAAGAGAAGAAATATCGCTAAATTAACTTCATCAGAATCTGTGACCATGAAAAAAATGAATTTCAACAATTTCTGGGATAGTGGATTGCTGAGAATTTCAGCTCTCATTCGTCTCTTACTCTCCCCCGCAACCCCTGTTCACAGTGACAATTTCACGTACGCCATTGAACATGGCACAGGGCCGAATAGAACTTTAATAATTTATTCACTTTCTTCCGTTCTTCCTAAAAAGGAGTTGCGATCTACGAGATATACGGAAAAGATTAGTATTCATGTTTTATCAAATGTTACTTCTGCCCACAATGATTGTCTTTCGGGATTGAGGACAAGGAATGATGAATGAATACCGAAATTTTCACATCAATTTATAAGCGAGACGGAGATGAAGTGGAAGGAGCCGGCAAACCCAGCACTCTCCTCCGCAACCTAAATGGGGCGTTTTACAGAACTTGGTAGGAAAGGGAGGGAAGGGAGAAACTTGAAGAACTTTGGGACTTGGAGAAAGAGAGGAATGGGGTAGGACCGAAGGGCAACATGCCGAAAATAAGGCAACTCTCTTCCCAACAGATCTTCACTGTGTACGAGGTATGTTAGCACGCATCACACAGATAGAGCCCGAGGAGGTAGATATTTGGCGCAGAGATTTGATAATTAGTCATTTGAGAACGACCTGTGGGATGGAAAAGCGCATCCTAAAAAAAAACAAATTCAATCCGAAAATAAATTTTCTCCAGTTATCACCATTACACTCGGATTTTATGGTAGTAAATGACGTTATAAGAAGAAAAAGGAACTGTCTGCAGTCGTTCTCATCCTCGACTTCGCATTTCCACTTCGGCATGACAGGCGCTTTCGTAACCAATCTCGATGTTTTACCTTCTTCGGCTAGCCCCGTTTTTCTTAAGTCAAATCAGTCATTCTTGATAATAATAATTCGGGTGCACACGCACTTCCATCTATGTTGTGCTTCTCTAGCCTCCTCCCGCCTTGGGCGAGGGGAGCCTACATCAACACGCAAACCGGTTCTGTGCCTCGCCCTCACTGTTCTAACCATGTTCCAGAAAGGTTAGAAATCTGAATCTTGGTACACATGTACCTTTTGGGTTGCAGAGTTCAGAAAAAATCCGACTTTGGAGGTACATGCCCTAGGGGTACATATTTTGGGGGGAGAAGTTTTTAAAAAAGATATATCATGATGGATAAGAATTCAGTTGAGTTAGCCCGTTTTGGTGGTGTAGTGGGAGCACGTCGGATTGATAATCGGGAGGCCCACGTTCGATTCCCACCAAATCCATGCTTTTTTTTTCTTCTCTTGCCTTCCATGTCCCTTTCTTGAATAAAACGGAGAGAAGTGGAAAGCTAAAACGTGGCATGGACGTGCCTAACGAAACGATGAGTTCAGGAAAAATGCAACACATGAGATCCATGCCCTGGGGGCATATTCTTGGGGGCTGACGTTTTCACGTATTTTTGTCCTGGTGTATTGAGCTTGCGTGTAAAGATGAAACTTGGTATATAATTACCTACCGGGATGCTGTGTGCAGAAAAATTCAGACTTTGGAATGAAATGCCCTGGGGACATGAATTTCAAGGTGAGATGTTTTCACATAATTGTCGTGGTGAATTGGACAGAAATGGAAAGGTGAAATTGGCATATGTATAATTGATTTGGAATTATTGAATTGAGAGAGTATTCAGCTTTCATGGTTCATCCCCTCCTGGTTTAGCTTTTGGGTGCGTCAGCTTTTGCA